TTCCCTGAAAAACTACCAGATCGTTCCATCCATCCATCCCTGTGCGTTTGAAGCCTCCCAAAGCTCGGCCTTGATAGTCTTCCCATTTCTTGTGAAGTAATAGAAGCAGGATCAAATACACCTTCGTCTGTGATGACGATCTGCTTACCCTTCTCTCCCCGTCACGACACGAGTGTTACCCCACGAGAAATCATCCATATGCCAGAAACTATACAATGGCAAGCACAGGGAGTACACGGGAATGGCAACGATGTAGAGAATCATCCATCCGATCATTTCCCACTTGCGTCGCACGATGAAAATAATTGCTTGCAAACCATAAATTGCAGCAAGAAGAACGAAAGCCGTGACAGGAACAAAAGATGGCGATTGTATAACAAGGACGATAAGGTAAACAATGTAAGCAATAGTGACAGGCTGAACCAAGGTGGAGACTAGATCGATCATAACAACGAAACGCATACTGAAGCAGCAGAACCCACAAAGTTCGGACATAGGTACGAGTTCTGCAAGATTATGTACAGTTGAGTTGATCCAGCGACGACGTTGAGAAAGGAAGACTGTCCAGGTATCGGGAGCAATAGTCCAAGCGTGAGCAGTGCGGATGTATTTGGTCTTGTACTTGCTGTGATGCTTCATGAGTAGTGTGGTCAAATAACGATCCTCTCCTAGATGGAGCAAATTCTTCATGTGAAGCGTGTCGACTCGGATGTTGGAATAGTCATCCACTACCTCCCGACTGACAAATAGTGGCTTCCCGGATTCTGCAGCTCGAACACGATACATTGTGAAACAACCCGGCAAACAAGTAACACTACCAAACAAACTTTCGAATGCCTTGGCAAGGTTATGGGAGATGAAGTACTCGTAAACTTGAATCATAGTGATAAATGATGATTTGGAGTTTGTCAACGATGTTTCTCCACATACACCGAGCAGCTTAGTGTCGTTTAAGAATGCCGAAACCATACGAGAGGCGGAATCCGCTGCAACGACTGTATCGGCATCAATTTGTAACATAAACTCATAGAATGTCGGGTTGACACCAATGATATTGCGGATTTGATGATACATTTCAAGCTCGAGGGGGCTCATGGGCGCATTGTAATGAACACGGTTCAAGAATCGCATCATGACCATCTGAGAATCACGCTTTCCTCTGTTTCCCGGTTTTGAAACTTCAGAAGGCTTGCCAACCTTGACAACAACCAAGAAAGGAACGATGTGACCTTGGACCTCGTAAAGACCCGAATAACATTTGCCCATGTTGTGTTGTTTCATTCCCTCGCCCAAAGATTCAAAGCTTAGAGGCTCAGGATCAACAGTATCTGATACTCCAAGAATGTCCAAAACGATACGTGGGGTGGGTCTGTCGTTACCCTGACCAATAATCATACCGTCACAGATAACGACCAAGAGTTTGCGTTTGTCATCATACTTCATTCTGGCGATGGAATCGATAGCTCGACGAAGGGAATCCTCGTCTTCTGTGTAGACAGGCACTTGGCAAATGACAAACTTGTCCAGATTTTCGGGAACGTTTCTACCGCCGAATTGGAGAGCTGCGAGAAACTTGAAGACGATAACGGAGGAGAGAATAAGTGTAATAGCCAATATCAAGTACTCGGCAAATTGACACTTGACAGAGTTTCTGGTATCAACGTCTGCAACATAGAAGAGGTTATCGAGACAAATCTGCATCCTAGACCGCATCTCGTCGCTGATGGCAAGAGCGTTCCAGTAGTTCGTAACATCCTTTCCAGATTTTTGCTGAAACAAGTCCACGACTAACGGTGACATGAAATCGACATTGACACCAGCAGGTACGGTGTCTCCCTCGGCGACGATGATTTTACGGCCTCCCGAAACATACTTCGTTAAGTCGTAGACCTTGCCATGTATAATGGCAATTGAGCTCAGTTTCGAAGCAAGAGTTTTGACATACTTTGCCGTGTAACCGATACGACCTTTGTAATAACCAGACTCCCTGAGCATGATCATTTGCTCTATAAACCAATCAGGGCGACTATCGTTTTTGAAGGCACGGAAGTCGTGATACGCAGCATTAGTATCCGTGCTACTAACCGTAGCTGCAGAACCGCTGACATTGGTGGAAGTATAATCGAGTTGCACTGAGGGATCAATAGATCCTGTCGTTCCTTGACATAGAGCCGAGACTTGGATGGGAAATAGGCCGGTAGCATCGATACCAGCATATTTTAAAAGACTCTTTTGGGGTATGATCGATGGGTAATGATGTGTTGAGAAGCCTGAGAGATCAAAGACCTGTCCTCTGATGGCAATGTAAGCATCGTCTTTTTTCCCGTTGTAAGAACTCAATTCAGCCGCACTGTAGACGTGTTGAGTAGGACAAATCAATTTCGGGAAGAGTACAACGAAAAAAGCGGAGAAGAGACAACTCCACCAAATCATCATGTTGATGGCGAGCTTTTCTCTCCAGGCCAATCGAACATCCTTTCGAGGCATGCGACCAACCAATCGTATTATTGAAATCAGGAATGAGCCATGTCATCATGTACACAACTGCTAGCCACCTCTTGCGCGTCCCGCTGACTTTAACTTCCTCTACCTCAACCATCGTCTTTTCATTTCCCTTTTCTGCCAATTGCTCCTTGGTATCCAAATTGCGGAACATATCACCCTGGCCAAGAGCCGAGGCACCAGCATCAGAGCGTGCATCGTCTTGACTACCAAAGTAACCAGATTTCTTGTCTCCATAGATGTAAGCTCCGGGTGATGGCGTGAGAAGAGCGGCTCCAGGACCCAAAAGACGTTCTTTCGAGGCTCCATAGTTATCACCTGACGTGTGTCTGGGCTCACCACCATCATCAGATGGCAGGGGATAACGTCCTGCGACGAAACCACGCTCATGCAGCTTAGCAATTTCGGCCCAGCACCTCTCACTGAGGAATACTCCCGTGCTTCCAACTCTCGCCTCATTAGAAGGCCATCTCTTCTCTTCGATGACATTTTCCACCTTTTCACGCTCGCTGCCCACTAATATCGTTTCAGTGTCTGCTAGTCCGAGGAATTCTCCAAAGGGAATAAAGAGGCCAAAGTCGGCGTTTCGTAACCGCTGACTAATTTCAGCGATGCCAAAAGTTTGAAGTTGCATTCGGACACATTTGCTGTCGAATTGGTTGGCTATGCGACGGTCATTCGGTTTGAGACAAAATACAAAGTACGGGTTCGTGTTCTGCGAGTTGAGGGCTTTAAGGATATTGTCCAATGAAGATAGGTATTGTGCAGCAGCTCCTTGGTCAATGTTGATTCCCTTTCGAGTTTTGCTTCCGGAGTCGATGGTTTCTGTGATGTCTTCGACCGAGTCCATTGCGTTCTTGGACCCACCAAAACGACTTGGCCGATCTCCTTTTCGTCGCATGACACTTGGTTGTCTCAAAGGCTTTGAGCTGACTTGAGCTTGCATGATTGTTGATTTCTCTTGTGGGTGCACCATACGTTGAAGCGCCTCTTGACCAAAAAGCTGGCTTACGAAGTCACTTTTGGTGTCACGAATCAAGTTCATGAGATCTCCCGAGATGACTTCTCCATTTTCTTCCACCAAACCAGCAACCGGATACTCCACTTCTCCAGCAAAGTGCTTAACGGTGAATGCGGCCGCGGCATTGTGTGTAGCAAAGTTGCTGCCTGGTAGTTTGGCCGTTGCACTGCTGACTGTGATGGCCGGGTTCTTGCCCTCGAAGCGTTTTCGCAAGCTTTCTAGTAGTTGTACGTCCGTCTTATGACGCTTGGTTTGGTCGTCAAGAATACTCAAGAGACCGTTACCGTGCTTGAGAAGACCCCTGACGGCGTCTGAATTATCGAAGTAACTGGTAGCTGCAACGGTTACTTCCTCGGTTTCGAGCATGTCAGCCTTTGCTTCGAAAAAGCTTTGCAAGGTGAAGTTGTACAGTGCCTCGGTTGCAGCATTATTGAGAAGTTGGTCAAGGGTCGAATCGGTGGCTGGCTGTTGAGAAAAACCGGGGAAATCAACAATGGAGATGGTGTTTCCAACCGACTCTTCCGACGCACAAACTCTTTGGTTGATGCTTTCGATGACATACGCCACGAGCAACGAGTACAAGGTCCTGGCTAGCTCGTCTGCGTTGCTCTTCGCCCCTTTAGGGTCGAGCATCACCGTTACCCTTTCTCTGTGTAGGATTTTGGTCTTGTAGCCAAGCGTCGTTTGCAAATCGGCCGCACCAACCCCTAAAAATGCTGCTATGATGGCGAGAACATCTCTATTTTTGACAGCCGTGAATTGCTGACCACCTTCGTGTGAGTAACCACCGCTATCATCTCCCATGGCTGACGTGCTCTCAGCCGTTTCGAACTCAAGTTGTCCAATGTGAAGGATACTAGCCAAGATCTGGCAAATCTCGGCGATTTCACTCCTTGGAAACTCTAGCTTTCTCAATGCTGTCTTGAACAGCTGGAAACCCTCGGCATCGTTGATTCCCACCTTGAGTTGCGTTGGGTGTCCAAGATAGCGCCATCTCTTTTGGCCTCCAGTCGAAAGTCGATTACCCGCTCCACCATGGTCTGCAGGTGAATCTAATCCCAGATGTGTCTTTTCGGCAGCACTGGTACCAGCTAGAAGGTAATACAAGACATGAAAATTCCTCTCTCCCGTCGGCACGGCGGCCACCCTACTTCGTTCTAACCTGTGATCTAGAACCTTTCCACCAATCAAGGTTGGATTGACTGTTGATGCAGTGTCATATTGGAGCTCGAAGAACAGACCTGCCTTGGAAGCGGTTGGAGTGGTAGCGGTTTTAGTGGATGTGAGGGTATCGAAGACGTATGCGGACAGAGATAGCTTGGTGGAAAGAGGGGTACCAGATTTGCTAAGTAAAGCCGAAAGCAAATGAGAACGAACAGTAGTTTTACCGGATCCTGACTCTCCCCTATCAACCCCATTAGCAATATGTCTCGGGGAGAATTTGAATGTGAGATCTTCCACTCACACAAAAGACTATGGCTTGGTTCTCAGTTCTAGCTCCAAGTCTTGCCATATGCATATGCTTTGTCGGCCATGCCCTCGGCGCCCCCCATGGCACTCCTTCTTTACCTCCATCTGGACCTTTCGTCGAAGAAGAATAAGTGTTGAGGGATATTAATGCATGAGAGGAAAGATCCGCCGTTGGCAATGAAACATGAAATCGACTGGCAAGGTGTGCCGTCAGATGTGTATCGGACTGTAGGTGAGCTGGTAAGGCAGGAAGGGACGGCTGCGAGTGTGCACCGCTGCTTGGATTATTGAGAGCCATGATGGATGGGTGCGGGTCGAAACCCTTAATGTTATATTTGCGATTCAATTGATCTTCAATCCTCTGGCCGATTTTGAATAAATAAAGATGTTAATCAGTATTGGGATAGATGGACGACGCCTTTCCGGTGCGAAAGTCGGTTGGCTCAACGAAGGGGTGGTAGGGGTTGGTTTTTTGAGAAGAGAATGAGAGACTCTATTAAAAACCCAAGTTAAATAGCGAGTGAATTATGAGCAACGAACAAAAGCGAGTGAATGTATTGAAAGGTTGCTAAAAGTTTAAAAGGAACCAGTTTCAACAGAAAAGCAAAAGATGTTGTTACTGACGTTGAAGGGGGAAAGAAGTTGTGAATCCCTTCTTTTTACTCAAATCCGACGAGACGAGACAGACTTTCCTACAAGCAGCAAAATAAAGGAAATATTCTAGCTAGGCTGGTAGGTAGGAGGTAGTGGGTTGGTTTAGTTGGTGGTTATGCTTATGTTTACTAGGTCGGTATCTACTTGTGTAAAGATATTTTTGAGTCTTCAATTATTGTTGTGGTCTACCGTAATGATTGCATGGGGGGTTTTAACATTTCTCGTGTGTACTATTTTAAGGAGTCATGACCAGGGGTATCAATCATCAGCAAGTCTTGAGTAAGTGAGCAGGGGAAGTAACGCCAGCGAAGAGCTTAAAACAGCTCTAGAAAGTTCATCTTACGAGTGTCAAAAATCCAGGAAGAGAGAGAGGAGAGGAGAGGAGAAGAGGAGGGGAAAATAAAAGAATAGATTACGACAAAAGAGTAAAATAAAACAATAACAGAATAAAAAAAAATTAATACAAAAACGATTGGAAGAATCCCCGAATGTGCTCCATCATAAAAAGCGACACGCCACCCACCTAACCTGGGTTCCACCCCTTAACACAAAACATTTGATATTGACAATTCAATCAACACGAGAAAACAAGCGGATGATCATAAAATACCTACTCCCGTACACAGCACAATTATGCACAGCCACCAAATAAACAACAAGTCTTTCATCGAATCACGATAGAAAGATCTTTACTGTTGTGGTTTCTAAATTCTAACATTCCCGATTGACTGGCACGCTTGGCGTGATAGGAGTTGGAGCTGGAAGTGGGAGTGGAAGTGGGAATGGGAATGAGAATGACAATGAGAATAAGAATGGGAATGAGAAATGGAGATGATGCATCATGGGCAGGATAGATCCACTTCCATAAGGTATCGATTTGCAGAATGATCAAGAAAGTAATCAAGGATACTTGCTTTTACTTCTCTGTACGAGGTTGGAGGGACCTCACAAGCATCATCCATTGACAACTTTTACCAAGTACAGTATATGGAGGAGTACAGACTGTACAGTTAAGACAAATACGGTATGTGTGTGATACATGGCTACGAGTTGGTCTATTTGTACTGTATGTGGTGTTATTATTCCTGTCTTATCCCATCATAACTTGGAATAGAGCTGAAGGTTATTCTAGTTAACTGTATTGGTATACTAGGTAGTTGTATATCATGTTATCAACAACATACGATTACCCCCTCGAATTTTGATTCAGTTCTCTCCAATAATCTTCTTCTAACCTAATATTTGCCTTTACTGGGCCCATTACATAGATAGGTACATGCCCATACTTGATATGTTAACAATTCTTCAACCCTTACCCTTCCTTTATCCTTATATTCGCCTCCCACCCTTCCTTCCAAGTTCCATCGGTATTAAAATTTGACGCCGTTAACTTTAATGTAGTTGTGGATCTTGGGGGGATCCGTTTCAGAGAAGTTCTAGAGATGCAACCGGGCCGCCAAAATTTCCTTCCATTTCTTCATGAACAATAAGCCATGGGTGAATAGGTTTGCCAAATGTGGGTACAGAAGTAGATCTTTAGACTTTGAAATCGATCCGGGCGAGCCAGGTATCTACTACTGACTGTACGAGTTAATCTAATAATATAACAATATACAAGATTAATTTAACCATCATCTATTCAAATGTAAAATGCCCCCTTTTACCCAAATATCGATCTTTGAGTCCTGAATCATTAGATGCTTGTTCTCACCTGTACTAGGCAGAAGGCAGATGAGTAATATATCCCTTTCGCATCCTTCCAACTGCATGATCATCATGATATGTGATGTGGGAAAAGACTGGGCGCTTGTGTACTCTTTCGCCATGTAGTAGCCCATTTGCTCCCTAGAATCTAGGCACGTCTAAGGATTCACAAAGCTATGGGTATGTACACGGTTACAGTTGGGAAGAGCTTGAATGATTGATATTGGCTGTGATGCTTTTGAAAGAGCTTGGAGATCATAGGGTCTTTTGAAGTATCTAGATAAATTGGTATACTCGGTACAGTTCTAGGATCCAGTTGGAGTACCAACATTCTCAACATCTTTATGGAGTAGACTCATGCCTTATGTCTCGGACGATGGGTCGATCCATCATCGAACACTTAGCTAGTTTTAGCCTTCGATAGCCTTCGAGTCTTCGACCATGGACCATGGAATATACGGATTACTACCTAGGTTCGATTCTTAAAATACATTGAGGTTTGCTTGCTGTTTTAAAAGCTCGTATGTGTGTAGTGTGTGTGTATGTATGTATGTATGTATATATGGATGGTATGGTTAATGACTTGATGAAGATGGTATACTTCGTATTAAGGGGATATCATTGGAGGGGAAAAGTTGTGATATAACAAATTTAAAGGGTCCAGCTAACTCTAGAGCCACTATTTCCTTCCATGCATTGGACGAATGCAGTGGCAATTACCTAGTACGGAGTATATTTGAACATGGAATCTCCAATTTTTCTTCATGTAAGATCTTTCAGACTATTCCATACGGGGCACCACTGGGTGGGTATGTATGTATGAAAAAGCTCAGACAGAAATTTAAAACAGCGATGACCAACCATAGCAAGTCTCGTATTTATCTCTTTTTTCTTCTCTCTCCCGACATGCGGCTTAGCTAGCATCAACAATCCCAATCCTTGTCACGAGCATTGAGCCACCGGAAAGAAAAAAACACAAAAAGAACTAATGGAGAAAATCGAGTGGTAGTGAATTAATAAGTGGTAGTTAGTACTCCGTAGCGTAGATACTATACTAGGCACCGTACTAGAACCTACCCAGGTAGTGAAGGTAAAGAAAGTTATTGCAGTAGTCGCAGTAGTGGCCATTTATTTTAAATCCAGGGGATCCTTTTATCGTCTACCGTAGTATCTTATTCTAACCAACTCCAACCAAAGAAGTTACTCTCAAGAAGCAGTTGGTATGAACAGAACATTCCTATGATTTTTTGATTGCATTTCCCTCGTCTCATCCGATTTCTCCATTTTTGCTGCCATTTTTGATTTCACCTCATTCGTTTGGTGAAGCCTTTTTCAAATCCATTATTCAGTACTTTCTTATCATCTTTTAATACCTCCTCAGTATCCAATACCAAACTCTCGTTTTTTGTGCACTTGCGTCAAACCATTCAGTTGCTCAGCGACCAGAGAAGGAGACTCTTTTAGAAAGAATAACATCAATCAACTTCCAATTTTTGAATCAGTACATAAACGCCCTTGCCGAGACTTTTGATATCAAAGACAGCTATCATAAAAAAAGCATCGAAAAGGGGTCGGTTTTGGAAGATATTGACTGTGGGTGTGTTGAATCACATTGATATCAACATATAGGGCTCTAACATCGAAGTGAGGGAGGAAAAGTTCCCCCCATCTGTACTACACGATGGCGGGCAACACTCGTATGTCAACATACTCGATGACATCTTCCGCCGCAGGAGCCGCTCGAAACTTTCATGCTGCCGGACAACAATCATCCCCAGTATCGACAACCACACTTTTGAATGCCGTCCACCACATTTATACATCCGGCCAGCCATATCGACTGGATGCTAGCACTAGTTTGGTTGTGAATACATGGCTATCAGCTTCACAGCCTGATCGTGAGGGGAGAACGGGAGGTACAATAGATCCAGCCTTAGCCGCACGAGCCTGGGAGCATGCCAGAAGACGTGCAGAAGATGGTTGTATTGTTTTAGGGTATGAGGCTTATTGAACTTTATGGTAACCCTAAAGCTAATCAGATCGCAGCTCCCTCCACGAAGCTACTCCTTCTATCTTGGTTCCTTTCCTCAACACCCTGCCCCTGTCCATCCCCGATTCATTATATACCGCCCTTGCCGTGTTACGACCATTCATCCATTGTGTTTCCCCCCAAAATCCGTCTGCACCTCGACAATCTGCTCTCGGTGTGACTTTGACTCTATCACTTGGTGGAAACCTAACTGCCGCATCAATAGCATTATCCGAGGGAGGAATTGATACCAAGAAGGGGCTTTTAAATCTCCCGGCCGAGCCAGGACATCGAGCTTTTGACGTCTTTTACTACCTTCTAACATCTGCGTCAACGCCTGCCGAACGAGAATTCTTGAGCTTGAAACAGGCTTCGAGTTATGCGCTTTTGGAAAAGTCTGGTACATATGATCCCCCATCGTACCTTCCTACCGCGGACGATGCAGCAGCTGCAGACGATTTTAGAGCATCTTTAAAGGCCATCGGTATCAAAGGTGCGGCGCACAGAGATCTAATCTCAATACTAGCAGGATTATTGAAGCTAGGTGATACTTTGAGCTTCATTCTTGATGGAGATGCTTTGGAGGAGATTTGTGAAGATGTGGGAGGTCTTCTTGGCTTGGAACCTGATGTTCTCGTCAAGCAATGCACGACACAGGAGCGAGAAACTCTGATCGGTGGACTTTATGAAGCTCTTGTAGATTGGGTGATTTTGAAAGCCAACGAGGCCATCGCTAGCGAGATGGCTAGAATCAAGGACGGCGATTCTTCGAGTGAAGGGGGACCGGGAGCTCGAACCCCGAATACCGAGGACGACAATGGTGACACGGTTTGCATAACTGTTCTTGAGATCCCGGACCCGAATCTGGGGAAAGCGGCCGCAATGCGAGGCGTCTTTGACGACACTCAAGGTATTAATGCCGAGATGAAAGAAGACGGTGTTGATGTGGTTGCTGCTGGCTCATCTGTTATCCGGGAGATGCAAAATGCAGTTGCGGAAGTCGCTCCAGACCTTGGGATCATGACCGGACCCGCCGGAAGAGACCGCGAACACGAGCTCGAGAAACGTGAGATTGTCTTGGAGAAGGTTGCCCGTGAGGGAGAAGACGATGGTTTTCTCAAAAAACTTCTGCTCCCCATTGAGGGCCAAGGTATCAATTTGGGCCGCAATGGTCGTATTGATTTACCATCTGTTCTTGGTAGCAGTCGTGTCTGGTATCACTTGTCCATGCATCCTACCGATGACTTACCTGCGACTTTGGCCTCGCTTCCCTCAACAACTTCGGCTTGGTCTGCCGGCGCCGTCTCACGCCAACTTCGCGCATGGCGTTTGCCAGAATGGGCCAATCGACGGAACAAGAACCTAGATTTTACCGCCGATTTCGACTTTGAAGAGTTTGTTCAACGATACTCTTCTCTTGGTTGCAAGGATGGCCGTGATGGCATTGAAAGTTGGACCATGGAACGTGGTTGGAGCAACGGCGAAGTTGTCATTGGCAAAGAACGAATATGGATCCGCGAAAGTGCTTGGTGGGAAGCTGAAACCATGCTCGATCTAAAGCCGGCTGATGGGGAGTTCCAAAGCATGGGTGGTCCGGGAGGGATGGCAGGCATGCTGGGAGCCCATGACATGAACACTGGATACTCTTCTAACGCACCAAACGGAAGCGGTTTCTTTGCCGCTCCCAACAATGAGTTAACGCCCGTTGGAAGTAATGATCAACTTATGAGTCGCCAAAGTCAAGCAGGTGGAGCTCGAAGTGTTCTGGGAGCGCCTGCCCCCACACAGTCACGGAATGTCAGTGGTGGCGACTATGGACTTGGCTTTAAAGGAGACAGAACGTGGGGACAGGTATATTACACGGACGAGAATGGGGAAATGGTGAATGATCCCGAAGGTGGCAACGCAAAAGCTGTTGTCAACGAGAGGGCGACCAACCAGCGTCGTATCTGGGTCGCTATCACCTGGGCTTTTACGTGGTGGATACCATCGTTCGTCCTTCGATTTGTTGGCCGTATGAAACGTCCAGATGTACGCATGGCTTGGAGAGAAAAGCTGGTCTTGTGTTTCTTTATCGTCTTCCTCAATTGCTTGGTTGTATTTTGGATTATCGAATTTGGTAAACTCCTATGCCCAAATTCGGACAAAGCATGGAATGCGAAGGAAGTCGCCACCCACCAAGGTGACAATGACTTTTGGGTCAGCATTCATGGAAAAGTATACGATCTCTCTAAATTTTGGAAGTTGCAGCACAGTGACACCACTGTCACAACCACGTCCAGCGTTATGCAACCCTTTGCTGGTATGAACTTGGACAGCTATTTCCCCCCACCATTGATTGTTGCCTGCCCTGGTCTTGTCACGGATTATACTTTGGTACTACAGGACAACACTACTGCCGAATATCCTGCTGGAGTTCATACCTCCGGAAATAGCTCCGCATATGTTACCAGCAAACTTTATGACTGGAATTGGTATGCGGACGTATACACACCTGCGATCAAAGAGTATTACCATGGAGATCTAGTAGTAAAGAAGAGCACGATTGAGAACCAAGGTCAAAACCAGGGACATTATTGGGTTACCTTGAAGGGCAAGATATACGATTTCACTAATTATTACTACACATTATCATTGTATGCTGGTGTGGATACCTACGAGTTTATCGACAGTACCATTTATCAAATGGTAATTACAAATCCAGGCTTAGATATCACAAGTAAATGGGATGATAACTACAAAAGCGCAAACGCTAGTTACCAAGTGGATATCCTTAACAACCTGAATTGCATGAACAATTTGTTCTATGCAGGTATTCCCGACTTCCGCGATTCTGTCAAATGTCAAATCAACAACTACATCCTTCTCGCCTTTACAATCGTTCTATGTAGTGTCATTGTCATCAAGTTCGTATCGGCACTTCAATTTGGTTCGAAGAGTCGTCCAACTCCCCAAGACAAGTTTGTGATTTGCCAGGTTCCGGCGTATACCGAAGGTGAAGATTCATTGCGTAAAGCTTTGGACTCTTTGACAGCTTTGCAATACGACAATAAAAGAAAGCTCATTTGTGTCATTTGTGATGGTATGGTTGTAGGAGGTGGCAATGACCGTCCAACACCAAAGATTGTCCTCGATATTCTCGGTGTAGATCCCAAGATCGACCCTCCTGCGCTGCCGTTCAAGTCTGTTGGAGAAGGTAACGACCAACTCAACTATGGTAAAATCTACTCTGGTTTGTATGAGTTTGAAGGAAATGTAGTCCCGTACATCGTAGTCGTCAAGGTTGGCAAGGAATCCGAGCAATCCAAATCGAAACCCGGTAATCGTGGAAAACGAGACTCCCAAATTCTCCTCATGAGCTTCCTCAACCGCGTCCATCATAGAGCACCCATGAACCCACTGGAATTAGAGATGTTTCACCAAATCAACAACATCATTGGCGTGGATCCGGAGCTTTACGAATATCTATTCATGATTGATGCCGATACCAGTGTCAAGGAAGATTCTTTGAACCGTCTTGTAGCAGCCTGTACTAACGATGGTAAAATTGCTGGTATCTGTGGCGAAACCAACCTCGAAAACGAAGAACAATCTTGGTGGACGATGATTCAAGTGTACGAATATTTCATCTCGCATCATTTGGCAAAAGCATTCGAGTCTCTATTTGGCAGTGTCACCTGTCTACCTGGTTGGTAAGTGATCCTTCTACACGAAACCCCACTCTCGGTACAATATACTAATAATTGCTTCATAGTTTTACTATGTATCGTATACGTACAGCTGACAAAGGAAAGCCATTAATTATCGCCGACGCTATCATTGATGAGTACAGCGAGTGCGTTGTTGACACTCTACACAAGAAGAATCTCCTATCCCTTGGAGAGGATCGATTTTTGACTACATTGATGACCAAGCACTTCCCATTCATGAAGTACAAGTTCATTCCCGATGCATATGCTAGCACCTCCGCACCCGAAACCTGGAGCGTTCTTCTTTCCCAGAGAAGACGTTGGATCAATTCTACTATTCACAATCTAGCTGAGTTAGTCTGGCTTCCTGAAATGTGCGGATTCTGTTTTTTCAGCATGAGATTCGTTGTTTTCATCGATCTCTTTGGTACAATTATTCTTCCTGCAACGACCGTCTACCTCGCATATCTGATCTACAAAGTCGCAACACATCAAGGTCAATTTCCCCTTATTTCAATTTGTATGATTGCTGGTACATATGGTCTACAAGCTTTGATATTTATTCTCAAACGTCAATGGCAACATGTCGGATGGATGATTATCTATATCCTTGCTTTCCCCATTTACTCCTTTGTTCTACCAATCTACTCTTTCTGGAACCAAGACAACTTCTCATGGGGTAATACACGTATTGTCCTTGGAGAGAAGGGCTTTGCAAAGGTCGTGGCCGTAGATGATGATGGGTTCGATCCAAGAAGCGTTCCCCTCCAACGATGGGACGACTACGCTCAACACAACAACCTCCCAGGACGACGTGGAGTGCCAATTGAAAAGGCATACGATACATATGAAGATCAATACGAAATGGATGATATGAAGTCCATGTACTCGTCTGTCAAACCTGCGTCCACTATCCTAACCGGTTTCCCTGGTCGTGGTCCATACATGCCCCCTCAATCCACCTACTCCGCAAACCAGTATGCCGACCACCCTCTTCGCAATCAGTCTGCCATGTCCCTTCGCCAACAAGATCGTTCTGCCTCTCCTTACCAAGACTACGGTGCTAACAATCGTCCCTCGATGCAAATGATGTCTTCCGACAATCTCCTTGTCGGTGGTCAAGGACGTCATCAATCACGTTCGTCAGTAGGCTTTGCAGGTGGCGCTCGTTCGCCATTAGCGGGAGCTGCGATGGACAGACCGGCTAGCGCATTTGATTTCCAGAGGGGTGTTTCTGGACCGGATGATATGCAAATTATAGAGGCAATACAGAGCTGTTTGAGAGAAGTGGATCTGGATAATGTAACAAAGAAACAGGTTAGGGCTTTGGTAGAGCAGCGATTGCAGACAGAATTGGTCGGCGAGAGGAGGACTTTCTTGGATAGGAGTATCGATAGTGAGTTGGCTGCTATGTAGAGCAGGAATGATTAAAGTTTTGGTGGGGGTTGAGGTCGATGGAGGCAGAGGGGAATGCGGTGAAAAAGATGTTTAGCATCTTCGCGCATGTGCGCGATGAAGTGTGGAGGGAATACCGAAATTAATCTCGAGTGTTATGGCGTCAATTTTATGCATTGGGTGGTTGGATGGACGGGTTTCTGGATTTGCATCTCTTTTTCTTTTCACTTGAGCAGGAAAATGATGGGAAAGAGCGTACTTGAAGGCTGATAGCTAGGGTGCTGGTGTAAGGAGGGCTTAATATCAGTGTGATGAGACGAGTTAAGAGTTAAAATGAGATACAACCCTTTGGAAATAAGAATTCAGTATTAAGAATCAACAACTTCACCGGCCCAAAATGCATTAACTGTTGAACTTTATAAGTTGTTCGCTAGTGACTATGGTAGCTGGTGACTTGCTTGACGGTACTACTTACTGACGCACTCACCACTCCCGAAGTTGGGTTTCATTTCACCAAATACAAATATGTACATGTATATCCAAACTCAAACATGAATCATGATGTTATGCTACATTACGATCGTCTCGCTCGACTTTTAGTTACTAAATTGATCCCAGATGAATATATGTATTATGGAAGATAGAACAATACATTTCATCTAACCTAAAACACGACCTAGAAAAACTCAAGTCTTCCCCAATGCATTACGACTACACTTATTCTCCTCCAGCTCAAACATTATTCCTCCCCTAACTTTCCCCATCTAATTTCCTAATCATAGTCATGAATTTCCTCTCGAGATCGAGATGCTCTTCACCCATTCTTTGGTTAGCTTGCGCCAGTTAGCTCGTTCGCCTCGGAGATGGCGTGCTAGTTCTGACGGAGTTGTGGTGAAGGCGGCGGGCGGTTCCATGCTTCTTGATCGATGCAGATTTTTGGTAAGTTGAAGAGGACATTTTGACGATAATGGATGGTCAGGTGAGGTGGACGTGATGACTGGGAGGGATGCTAGGATGGGATGTTTAGGAAGAAAGTGATGATTAGATCAGTTTGAGAGTTAAAGGGCATTAGTTCGGGAATGATATGGATGTGGATGAGATAGAAGCCTGATGAGATTAGAATTTGAGGCGATAGAGGTTGTCAAGTCTTAGACTCAATAATCTTATATACCTAGTAGTTTCAGGAGTCTATATGACTGACATACGAGACTCTTGGCCGGGGTCTGTAAGCCATACCGTACTCATATACACTTTGCGTTTGTGTGTAGATTGAAATAAAGTAATAGCATCGATAAGATCGTGTGCATTGTATGAATCATATCAATCTCAAAATGATGGGTAATTACATAGGGCTCTCTAGCACAGCCCCAAAAGCCAAATACAGTGTAATCCATCCGTTCAAAGCCATTATTTCTTCATAGCTAAAGACCTTCCAATCATACCTTATCTTTATCCATTCCAACTTCTAATATTCTCAAGATCTTCTCAAATCTTTGACAGTACCCCATAATATCCTTCCTCACAGTCTGCGCCTGGCCGCGCCATTTCCTTTGTCCTTGACGAAGCCGTATGTTATCAGCATGGAGGTGATCTTGCAGCGTGTTATGTCATCTGGTGATACTAATTTTGATGTCTGTGGACAAAAAAACTTTGAAGATGGGACATGATGTATAATGGAACAATTTTTCTTGGATGGGGTTGATAAAGGGATGGCGGATGGGATGAAGGTAGAGTCATCATTTTATATTATATATATATATATAACATGACTCAACAACATGTGATCAGCTTGATGTGATTTAATCATCGAATCCTAATTACTACGTATGAATTTTTTGAAGGGTTTTGTTGCATAGGTAACGTATATCAAATAGTAGTGAATAGTATGTTGGTAATAAACCATACATCTATACCATGAGTTGAAATGTGTTTTTAAGCTTGGTTCACTTGTCACGTAACTTTAATGCAGCTAACTCAGAGTCATTAATGAGTTACCCCGGCACAAATAATTATGAGTAGGTCTAACTTGGAAAGGAAAACATAACATGATCTCTAGTTCTGAGTCGGTTAGCTATACATAGTATTATCGAGAATCCCTTAATACGAAGAAGAGAGGTAAATTGCCTTCGAATATGTCGCCTAATAATTACAAACAACATATAAATCTGAAAATTTATCAGCCTTTATATTGTCAGCATTTACATCTAATCCCATAATTGCTTCGCTGTAGCTTGTTTTTAGGGAAACGCACTGTAATATTCTATACTTCTCAAACTATCCTTCGAGCATTTAAAGTCATATTCCATAGCTCCAAGTTGAATACATACAGTATCAATAATACGCCTCTCAAGTTCCAGCTTCCAAATTCTTGTTTCATAGTGGAGTTATGGAAATGAAATACACAGCTGATAAGGTTATGGAACATTAGAAATTAAACTAGCCAATGAGAAGGATAGAGAAGAAAACTAGAAAAGTAATTGAGAGGATCTGATAATAAATGGAGAAGTGTTGCCGGCTTATTCGAAGTTGGATGAGTTAATCACGGTGTGGAAAAGTATTTGCAGTGAGCAAAGATGGCAGGAGAGATCTTTCCCACGGGGCTCAGTGGGAAATGTTAGATTCTTCAGGAAAAGAAAGTCGTAGTTGCAGCTCAGGTATGTCTCCGCGCTTGTTTTGTGTGAAAGTTTTTGGGCGAACTATTACATAGCAATACCGATAATAGTACTAAGTTAAGTATCTGGGTATTACAGCAATAATGGAATGTATAAGATGAATGCCCAAGTACTCGATGTATCAGTGATATATGTAAGAGACTATTCCGTGTTCCATGAGATCGTTTTTCTAATTCCGTCACCCTTTTTGTTGGTACGAGAAGGATACGGAAGACGTAGCACCCACGGATTACGTAGGTCCTGTATGTCTAATTGTATTCTGTCTAAAGAGCTAGCTACATATTGAAAGTAGTAAGTCTTATATAGACTTACTAAAAGAGCTAGTCTCTTTCGCGTTCGCTTAGTTCTTTATTACAGTAGTAATTGAATTGAAGTCATTCACTTCGTTCACACACTTTTCGTTACTTTCATTGAAGCCGTCCCCAATCACAAATTCTAGGAAGCTCAACATTTTCCACAATTTGCAAGCAGTAAATTTCAGATCCCCTACACAATGAGTCTAGCGCTAACACTGAGCAGAAGTCTGTAGCAAGGACCGAAGTTTGTGATAAAATCTAGGGAAATATACGTCAGAAGAAGTTTAAGACAGGTAAAGTGACAGATAAATTGGCCAAAGAGAAGACAAGAGTGAAAGAGTTGGGGAACTCGTTAGTTATTGATAGATCGAGGGGCCGATAGAATATTTGTGAAGAGCTCATATGAGAGGATGTAGATAGGGCTGGCTCCTTTGAGCTTGGAGGACATAGATGATCAAGCGACAGTCATGTGATTTTCATTAGAGTAGACATATTAGCTGTGTAATGTGCTAGTAGTTGCAGTGTGTCCAATAGTCCGGATTGCAGGACGGATTAAATGTTTTGAATTAAATAGTTAAGCTTTAATTCATTGATATATTAGACAATTTGTTTTGAATATTAAGATACTCCAAAAAATCAGATTGTAGTCTAGTTTGTTTGGATTTTTAGATTATTTAGTAATTGAATTATATAATGTAGGATCATTTTTTGTTATAATTAACAGATTTTGAATATATGTTTTTTTTATATTAAATATAATATAAAATTAATTAATTCAAAAGTCTGGATGGTAATCTGGATTTTTAATATTAAATTATCTAAACCAGATTTTTTATATAAGAATCTTTTTAATAGTCCATTTAGTCCAATTAAATTACAGACTAACCATTTGGATGGCTGTCTGGATGGAATACGGGTAGATTATTGGATACATTGAGTAGACGATAGAACTTGTCGTTGTCGCGTAGATTGAGGATATAAATAGATTCACAATATGTAGGCTTTTGGCCATCGCCCGGAATGGCACCAGACAAATAGCGCTAGATGCTTAATCTATGCGCCTACGATAGGTCATAAAATTGCCAGATGAATATACTGCTCAGGCCGAGTATTTAGAAGGATTGGTTTGCAGCTTTCTACATGGAAACTCTGAGTTACATTACCAGTCAAATTAGAAACTCATTGGGGACTATCGGAAATATATAGTCATGAGCAATGGTAATCGGTAGTGATGGCTTGCTCACCGTTCAAAATAAACTCTATATGTTGCAGATATGTTATATGTACAGTATCTAAACCCGCATTGACTGGGGAATACATTGAATACAATTTATTCTCAGCTTCCAGGCCAAACCTAGGAAGAAACTCATACTTATTGACAAAAATCCATGTTTAAACAATTTCTCTGAAGCAGGTTTTGACATTTTATTCGGATCCTGGCATCCAAACTAGCAGATGTCCCTTTTAGTCTCAATCCGAACTTACAGAAGAGAATAGGCCAGTTCCGATCTAAACAAAAGATTACCAAAGCTCTAAGCCAAATCAGCTAATCTGAAACAGAGACATCGTGGTAGAAGTTCACATTGGTGTTGAAGAAATCGTGAAGGCCAGAAAACGGCGAAAAGATAGGAGGGAGATGGAGGACTGTGGAATGCTTATCATTGGGGACAAGCACAGGGACTGTCGGGGATGGGAACTCTCGAGCAGTTGTGGTGTTGGAGAAGTGATATGAGAATAAGCGAGAAAGAGTGAAGAAAATCACTCGCGAAGAGTGTTGGGACAATTACATTGATGTGAAGACTTGATGGGAAAGGTCCGTAAAGATGGAATAGCCGGCCGTTTGTTTAAATAATACTATTCTAATAGAAAAGGCATACTGGACGGCGAACTCTTCCTGCTGAAAAGATAATGGCAAGACACCACATGAGACCAATGAGAGAACGCTGATTCGCGTATCAAATGATGCCTACAGGCAATATGTCATGATTATTTAACGGTATTACAGATGTCAAAGTATGCATTCATAGTATGTGCAAAATCCAATGCTGCAAGATACCAAAGAAAAGGAAACACACTGTAACTTGCATCTTTGCATCAATCACATGGTAGATGCTGGACTAATAAGTTTTACAAGTTGATATTACTTCAAACATTCACACATCGCCATTTTTAGTCATATCTACCCGAGGCTATTTGTTTCCGGCGACAGCTATACATGTTGTTCTGTCACCACGATTGACCAAGACTTTTAGTGTGGTAAAACTTAATTTAGTAGTCATCGCTCTCAGTGCTGAGCGCTGTTGACAAACATGCAAACTCCGTGCATTTTGAGCTATGTAATGTGTGAAGGTAACATGTGAGTACACTACTTCTACACCGTAACCAGAATTTATAATAACACATAGAGGGGCCAATTAAACTATTTTTTCAGACCATTATTCATTTACCGAGCCATAGATTCCTCAACTATTTACCCTCGAACATACCAACCTTGTCTTTAGTAGAGTGCCACTCGAAGACCGGAAAAGATACAAATCGTGGGTCTTGAAGAGACTGTGGAGGCTTTGGGGGGGGAGGGGGGGGACTGTCTCAGAGAAAAAGAATGTAGCTAGTCACATCAAGTCCGGAAGGGCTACAGAAGAAAATTGGCGGAAACATGTGGATGGCTTATTTCGAGGACTCAGAAAGGATGCTGCAATGCTACAAAGAAGTATCGAAGACAAAAAAGCAAACTACAGGGCTGAAATTGGATCCCAAAGATATGGTGAGCCATCAATCAGGTGCAATGAGCCCGGATGCCAGACAAGTGAGAGTAACAGAAACGTGTATGGTATTGGATGCTGCTCTGTAGATCTGCATACGCGCCATTCCAATATTGCCAAAGTCCTCCAAGATCACTTCTCCATATTTGAGCCGGAATCTCGCGGCATCTCTCTTCATTCCGCTGCGGTGCACAACACATGCATTGAAAGTACAAATATCACAGGTACCGGGCACTTCATCTACTCCATTCAAGAGGTACCTCTGCCCTTTCAAATGAAATTTACAGGTTTAAGCAAGGAGAATAGTGCTCTATAAAAATGCTGTTATTATCTATTCGCGATATGTATCTCGATCGTTCAAAGTTTTCTAATTTAAGTAATTGTGATTGACTCAAATATATGACAAGACTGACAGAATCTAGTGGCCATATGTTCTCTTTAAAAAATCACAAGATGAACGAAAACATGTGTTGTGGGATTCATAGGCGTACTGTGAGTGAGGGGGAAGGGGGAAGGTGTGGATTGTAGACCGAAGGAGAACATAGAGAGCCTATGGAGACTATAGCATCAAACATTCATAAAATGGGCGGTTACTATGCATCCCAATGTCAGGTTTGGCATGAATCATTTCAATCGTGATTAAATGTCTAATTAAGAAGTTTGTGATGACACTGGATTGTTAGATAATGTATCAAATCAATTAAGATATTGTTGAATAGCATATAACACTTACAAGAATGAACAGACCATGGATTCATTACGTTGATGAAAAAGGCATTGATGGCATATTCCAAAAGGAGAAAAGATGACATACGCCCGCGGTGAAACCAAACATATAAATCGACTGTGACTGGTAGCGATTCATCATGTGTCTTTCTAAATACACTTGAATTTCACACCCTATGATTGTATCTTCATCATTTACAGTATCATTTAGGGGCTATGAGCGGAGTGTGCGATTTTTTGGTAGTGGCTTACTGGTGAAGACAAGAATATAAAAGGCAGGAAATGGTCGTCCTCGAAACAGCATAAAGAATTCAATCATCACGACGAGAAGAAGAACAGAATAGAACATCCGAAGTAACCATTATCGAAATATATTCAATGATCGAGGCAACAACATCTAATCCCGAGTGGTGGGAGCAGAGAGAATGCTGCGATGGGACGAAGTTTTACTACAACGTCGCCACACACCAAAGAACAAAGCTAAATCCTAGCCGTGGTCCACTGCCCCCAGGCTGGGTCGAAATTTATACAGATGGAGAAATTCAAGCCCTCCAACAGCGCACCGGGATCATTGCAAAGGCAGACCCACGATGTTACGAGCCAGATCACGAAAAGAGAGTGGCAGCTACAATTCACGACTGGACTACGCACCGGGCAAGCCCTTTGTACAGCATGCCTACTGCTCACAGCGTCTTGCGAATCATCTGGAGAGATGTGGAAATGCATCTTTCCGGATTCCGGCTGGACGTAGAAACGTACGAGAAACTGGGTACGAGGGCTATATCCAATGCTAAGCTCATTGAGAGTTTGGATGACAACCTCCAAGCCATCGAGACGTGGCGTGCTATGGCCGAAAAACAAGTGGAAAAGTTGGAAACAGATGCCGCCATTTCCGGGAGAAACACCAACGTGGAGGGATTGCGAAGGAATTTTGACGCATTTCGCAATGCTGTTGATGCAGCAGCACAAGAAATGCATGGAGGATGGTCGAAAGTAGAGCACAACAAACATTTGTTAGAGTCATTGGAGGTATTCTTTGCGTCATTGAGAAGTACAACATGGGGATAGGATCGCGGCGACAGTCCCTTCGCGGTGTATTTAATTAGTCTAGAAGATCTTACTTAGAACTCTTTTCACCTGGTCTGTCTGGTTCTGAGCCTTGTTCTTCAATGCTGGAGCATTTTGCTTGAAGCGCATGGGCCTATCGGCATCTTTCTTCTGCTTTTTATCCTCTGCATTTCCTTCTTTCGTGACATCGACATCATCGTCCTTTCTTCTCTTCGCGGCTTTCTTGGCCTCCATCCCCTCCTGTATCTTCGCGCGTTCGACGTTTTGTACAAATTCCTTGTTCTCCTTGGTCGTCTTGCTAATTTCGGCTCTCATCCTGCTTGTTCTTTCGGCATTCTCTGCCGCAATTTGATCCGTCAAATTATTCCACTTGAAACCCTTAAGATATAGAAGATTCCATACATCGTCGTGATAATAGTTTCCTTTTTTGCCTCCGATCGTTTTCGCATTGAGCAGTTCGCATACCTTCTTCGCATCCGCCTTATTCACAAATTCTACCCATCCATCCACAAAAGACCGCTTCTTATTTCCTCCATTGCGTACTCGTCTTGTGTGCGAAGCGGGATCTTCAGGCGTCAGGAATATGCGATTGATGTCACCATATGGTTCAAGAAGTGATCTTAATTTTGTCGGTTTCATGAAAGGTGGTATTCGGGAGAGATATACAACGCCAGACTTTTTGATAGCAGCAGCACTTGCGACAAGATTCTTTTTCGTGAGTGGCCTAGAGACTCCTGGTAATTCTAATTCCTTTGAAATCCTCTTCGGTTTCGACTCCGACTCAATATCTTTAGATGCTTCTTCAATTGCGTAAACCTCGGCGTCCTGTTCTTCTTTGTCGCTGTTCTGGTCGATATCTTCGTCGTCACTCTGATCATCCTCCTCCACCTTTCTCCTCTTCACACTTCTGCCGCCCTTTTTTAAGTCTTCTGCTTCCGAATTATATCCTTGACTTTCATTTCCATCACTCTCCTCCAAGTCTAGAAAATCGTTATGCTTTCTCGTCGCCATTTTTGATTGATTGATTGATGGATGGATGGATGGATGGATTGAAGTGATTTCGCAAGTATAAATTATAAATTGTAAAATGTAAACTGTAAATTTTGGCCAGGATTTACAAAAAGTTAAAAAGTTTTAGCGTGCTTGGAATTGTTGGAAACCCACCAGTGACCCCCTGTTACATCCTGTAATAAATTTGACGCATAGCGATAACGGGGTCACTGGAAAATAGATAGATAGTGAGAGTCTCTTTCATCCCACCATCCCATCAACCCCACTAGAAATAAATCTGCAGCATAAGAACACTGGACTGGCGGAATATCATTCTTGTTGACTTAATCCGATTTGATTTGATTGAATTTGCTTTGCCCTCTAATCGATATACATGAAAAACTAAGAATACACGGAATACCAAAATGTCTGTCGAAACTATTACTACCATTTCCCCCATCACCAACAAGCCCGTCTTGACCAGGAATGGAATCTCTGCGGAAGATCTACAGCAGTTGCCCATTACTGCCACCGAAGCATTCTCGAAGTTTCGAAAGACTTCATTGAAAGAACGACAAGACATTGTAAAGAAGGCTCTCAAGCTCTTGAACGACAAGCAAGATGAACTGGCGAAAGAGTTAACAGAACAGATGGGCCGACCCATTGCCTATACTGCGAAGGAAGTCGCGACAGCTGTGAAGAGAGGAGAATACCTTTTGAAGATCAGTGAAGATGCATTGAAGGATACAGACGGAGAAGCAGAGAAAGGATTCAAGAGATTCATCCGAAAGGTGCCTGTTGGACCGTGTCTCATCCTTTTCGCATGGAACGTAAGAGTTGTCTACCGGCCCCTTATTTCTCTAGCTAACATTACGATTTCCTTAGTACCCCTATCTTATTCTCGTGAACTCCCTGATACCTGCCCTCCTTGCAGGTAACTCGGTCATCCTAAAGCCATCTCCGCAGACACCCACTATCGTTGAACATATTGCCACTATATTTTCCGAAGCTGGCCTCCCAGATAATGTTATCCAGTACTTCCACTGCGGCTCCCCTCTCATTATCGAATCTATTGTTAGAGATCCAAAAGTATCTCTAGTGTGCTTCACCGGATCTGTAGCTGGTGGTTTGGCTACAGCTAAGGCTGCAGCAGATAGAATCGTGAATGTTGGTCTTGAGCTTGGTGGCAAGGATCCCGCATACGTAAGAGGAGATATCGATGTAGCATGGGCGGCTGAGGAGATCGTCGATGGAGCTGTTTTCAACTCGGGCCAAAGTTGTTGCAGTTTAGAAAGAATCTATGTTGATGAGAAGATCCATGATGAGTTCATTGAGGCGTTGCAGAATGTCTTGAAGAACTACAAATTAGGTGATCCTTTCGATAAGGAGACGGTAAGTACCTCACACACAATTTTCGCTGGCTCAATACTTACTACTTGCTTATGCAGCACGTCGGCCCCGTCGTCTCAAAAAGGTCAAAGGAAACGATCGAGGCTCACATCAAGGATGCATTGGATAAGGGTGCCAAGGATCTCACTCCCGAGAACGAGACTTTCAAGGCACCTCCTCCAGAAGGCAACTACGTTAAGCCAACGTTGCTTGGTAATGTTGATCATAGCATGACCGTGATGACGGAAGAGACTTTCGGTCCCGTCATCCCGGTGATGAAAGTCAAGAGTGATGATGAAGCCATAAAACTCATGAATGACAGTGAATTTGGGTTGACCGCTTCGATATGGACGAAAGACACGGCCAAAGCAGCCGAATTAGCTGAAGATGTAGAGGCTGGAACTGTCTTTGTGAACAGATGCGATTATCCAAGCCCTGTAAGTCACTTTGCCCCTAGATGTACATGGACATGAACATGGCTCACAAGTATTGACAGGACCTTGCATGGACTGGATGGAAAAATTCCGGAAGGGGCGTCACTCTAAGTAAATTTGGCTTCGAACAATTCGTCAAGCTGAAGAGCTACCACTTGAAGGATTACCCTAAATGAGGGTTTTGAGTATTACTTCTACACTTGTGTGCTTGTGATACTGAAGTCTCGAACCATTTTTGAGCCTTTTCACACCAGACATCAGAGCCACAAATCGATAAGCTCAAGTCGAAAGCGAACATTTGAGTAGAAATAAGCGACGGAAGGATTCATATAGACGAATGACGAATCTACCTTGACATTTTCCGTGGTGCTGAAAGTTCCTTGATGTTCAAGTTCTACACATGTCGAATGTCAATCTGGCATTGACGGGCCATGGCGCTTCGACGCCATCGAAACACAGATTACAACTTTGGGCAGGCAATATGCAAATTTTATTAGTGATACAATCTCGAAGAATTCTTGTGTCAAGTAAATGTTTGGTAAAGGTTTAGTCAATGTTGATCCATTTTTCCAAGGTAACGCAAGGGAGCAATTTGATTGGATAAATAAATTTAACCAAAAATGGTGAGAATTAGAACTAAGCCTTACTGCAAAGAATTGAAGGGAGAAATCTAATGGAATGAAAACATTGCATCACATGATCGATCAACCCTTCCTTATTCCTATCTTCCTGTCGTGTTCCCTCGCATTTCCACGCTTTTCCCTTATTCCGGTATGCTCTTGGGCGTCATTCCGTGCCTCTTTGATCTGAATCTGTACATCATATCTATTGAAGGTACTTTCAAATGGGACTCATTTTTATAGACTTTGCTATTATTAGTATCCAAGGTATTAGATTTGGGGTCTTAGGTATTACTGACTTTGACTATCTAGATCTTTTGACATTAAACGTGTTCAGCTCGCCAACCCCTTTGATAGATCTGTTAGCGATACATTCTACATTTGACCATCTTGTTGGTCATCAACATTCCAGAAAAGGCCTCATCTGATAAGAAGGTAATCTAGGAAATTCCCATTTCCTTCAAATTCTGGAGTAAGGAATCCGCCACGTTACGTCGCCGGCTTGCCGTTACTTTGAGGCGTACCAAAGAATGGGAATTTGAATGCACCCGAAGTCGTACGCATCATTGTGGTACTGACTCTGTGTAATTTCTCATTTGATAGTGTCGTTGCCCTTGACAGCAAACTGGCAATCACTGTCAAAAAAAGAACCTTTCCTCTTTATAGTATCTTTTGGGATTTTTTTTTTTTTTCCATATATCTTGTTCAATTATCGCCAGTCTTATCATCCAGGTATTGGCAGACAGCTCTTCAGCAATTCTTCTTCTTTACGGTCAGCAACATACATCACCAGTTATTCTTTCCTTTTTTTGTGTCATTAATTACAGCCATTCCTCGTCACGCGTCTTCCAATATCCTGCATATTCATCGTTTCAGAAAAGCACGTCCACCTTCCATACTCCGTTCTCAATCTATAAAATATCATCACGAGGGACATTCATATTGCCAATATAACAATAACCTATCTTCAAAATATCATCGGATATATACTTAAAAGCACATACATTCATCTCAATTCACATTCAATCACTTGTCAACATGTCCTGCATGCAAATCAAAGCAACCTTTTCAAAGCTCAGCAGTAAATATGCTGAAACCTTCCGAATGAAGCCAAAAACACCTAAAACTTTATCTATTGTAAGCATCTATATCATTTGGAATTTCCTCGAACAATAACTCTAACATAGCAATTACAGAGCGCACCCTTCAACTTCCAAGAAGGCCCTGCAGTGAATCTCCCCGGCTATTCCGAGGATGAGTAAGTTAGCCTTCCCACCACTCATACCTCATCGCAAATGCTCAAATGCTAATGTAGAAATACAGAATATCACTCATGAAGGAGAAAGCCATTGCATCGACGGCCGTCGCCTCGGATAACCACCACGGGAATCTCAATCGATGCTACGATTCGGATATATCTGAATCACATTCTAAGACGGGGTCTCATGGGTGTGGGATTGGAAGGAGTGTAGCTTACCATGCGAGAAGGGCTAGTAGGGGATGTATGCATGGTAATTGAGATAGAAGGTGATGCATAGATTTTGGGTGGGTGGTGGGTTGTCACTTGTATGAGTATGGGTTATCACTTGTATGAGTATGGGTTGGTGTACGATATTGGGTTGGTGGGATGGCTACGGAGATTGCTACGGAGTTATATGGATGGGGCAGATGGAAAATTGTTATAAATTGCTATAGGATGGTGTTATGACGGTGTGGAAGGGGAAAACTTTTGGTCATAGTCATATAAGTGACATCGGGACCGACACTGAATGGTAATGGGAATAGGAACATATAGCTCTATGATGGTTTTATACAAATTGATAGAACTAAAGATAGAATCAATAATTGAATATTTCATTTGTTATACCTTGAGAGTCTCTCAGGAAGTCAGTTATTGATTTTTCTTGAATAAATACTGCAGAAATATAAAATCTTACATCTTAATATTGCTTGTTCTGAATTTCAAAGATTAGCCGATCTATTCTGTTCATCTTCTTCATCAATCTCTATAGAATCCCGAGGAATGGAAATATACGTCTAATGTATGTCAAGCAAGAACTTTCCTCAACACCGGAGTAGAGCTGTCATCAGAAGCGTAAAAGAAATTACTTAAGTGAGGAGCGCCCGCGGAGTAACCTACACATAGATCATCCTTCTATTAAACACCATGCCTATGTAAAAACTGGGAAATCTATCCATATCAGACGCAAAAGTGCTGCAAATCCTCAACGTAAAGTAAAGCAGAGTATTCTCAAGAGCCAAAAACAAATTACGCCAGGTCCAAAAGCCTCCAAATAATACTGAAAGAAATACTTAAACATCGTACACATCATCGTCCTCGGGCTCCCAGCTTCCATCTGCACTTTCTCGTGAAGCACTTTTTCTAGGCGTGGGATATCTGGGTATGAGCTTATGGTTCGAGATTGCACTAGCTGCAGGGGTTTTAGCTGTAGAACTATGAAAAGTACCAAATTTAGGAGTGCCTGACATGGCGGCGATATTCTTGGGGAAGGCACTCTTAGGAGTCACAATCCTGGGGATGGCACTTCTACGGCCAGTTGTTTTTGCGGTTTTTGCTTTCGCGGTGGCAGCGGGTCTGATGAGGTTGGGTCTAGAAGCGCTGCTGGAGGTAAGTTCGTTCGCCTTCTTAGCCCTAGGCGTGTCGGCCTTCGGAATGGCTGCCGTAGGAGTGGCAGTCTTAGTTGCGGCTGCCTTCCTAGTGGTACTCCTCGGAGTAGCCTTTTGCTTCTTTTCTGGCTCCCACTCCCCATCCTTACTATCTCCCGAAGCACCATTTCTGATCACATACTTTGGAGTGGCCAAGTCCCTGATGCTGTAATCTCGCGCCATGGATGGTATTCGAAGAATACCTTCAGCCGAAACTTCAGTGGTAAATGTGTTTTGATGAGTAAAATCTCGAGATTGGACTTCTCTCATGGCGTGAGTATTGACGTTGGATGAACCACCGCTGAGATATGTTGTGGGCATTGAAGTATATTCATATTCTGGACAAAGAATCTGAGAGCCGTTCAAATTATTTCTTCCATCATTTCCTCTCCTACCAACGGTATGTCTCGAAATCGATCCAGAGCTGTATCGAGCAGATCCTACAATGCTAATCTTATCAGTTCTTCCGCCAACTCCAAAATTGTACCTAAGGGGGCCTGGTGCATCTCTCTCAGCAGTAGTCAGTATATTTGTAGAGACAACTTCTAAACCAGCTCCAGTAATGTATTCCGAAGAACCAGGAGAATTATTTGCGATGTGTCTCATGAGGGTATCTTCCATATCATCAGTTCTCAATTCATCGCTCGTATTGACTCTACTCATCTCAACTTCCCAATTATTTTTGGCTGGAGTAACTTCTCGGAGAAGCGATTTATAATCCTCAGCAATTATATCCGCGACATCCTGTCGCAATTTTGGGGGAGGTTTTGGGCCACGCCCTACTGGACCCTTTCGATACCAATTTGTCATAACACCCGATTTTGGTGGTGGGCCTGATGTTGCTTCTGGTCGGAAAGCTGGGTTTAGGTAGTTGGCGCGGTAGGTCATGTCGTAGTCTCTCAGAGCTTTGCGAACTTTCTGAAGATCTAGCGAGGCAATCTGCGCAGCAGGTATTAGTAAGAATATTGCCAAAGGTTCTGGGTGAGGATTGGAAGTAGCATGAAAGAAGGGCAATAGGAGCGGATGAAAGACTAACATCTTCATCATCGAAGGGAGCATCAAAACCTTTATGTGTCCATGCTGGCATTTGCATTCCTTCTCCAGCTCTGTGTGCGTAAAACAAGTCAGTTTCAAACAGTGAAATTTGATGATAGAACTCAAAACATACCTCATAGCAGTGTCATAACTGTCTCCTACCATCAAAAAACTTATGCTCATATAATCCCATTGGAATATTCTCAAAAGGCTTTTCAGCAGTTCTCTTGTGCTCCAAATCCAATTTCTGAACAAGAAAATCCTCGTCACTCAATGCTGGACCCAGAATGGGACCGGTGAGCTCGTAATCAGTCAGATTAATATTATAACCAGTGCTATCGAGCTGATTCTCTGAGATCGGAGGGTTCTTAGCATCTCGAAAGCCAGGCCACGGGAAACTGCCGTCCACGAACTTATCTCCAGACATATTGGCAAGATCTATATCGGGCGTCGCGTCGCAAAATCTATGTAGTTTCTTGCTGTGGAGGTAGAGCTCTGATGGCATTGTGATGACGAAGGGGTTATTGTCGCGATTGTTTAAGATTTGAAGAGAGAATTCGAGGTTCAGCCCGGCATTTCTAGTTGGGAAAGGCCAGCGTTGAAAGCGCTCGTCACCCAAGTACATTGGCTCGAACATTGACTCAAACATTGGCTCGATCTGGTTAGCCGTTGCGAGTGCTGCGGAGAGTTTGGATAAGAAGTTGTAGATAGTAGGTAATTGAGGCATAGACTCACTAGGATCAATGACTCAAGATTCTGGTTATGATGCAGCTTGTACTGCAGCTGTATAATAAAGGAAAAGGTCAGCTTTCAAAATAAGTTTGATGTGTGAATAATTGACCGGAGAGCGGTGAAGGAGACTGATTGTCCAAGTAGTGAATAGGCATTGTCAGATGTCAGGTCTTGAAGTAATGAAGACAGTTCAGCCCAGAAGAAGTGAAGTCTTCCGGGTACAAGAAAGGAAGACTATTCCCGAAGAAATTATCATGGAAAACAAGAGAAAAAGTGATTTGAGTGTAAGAATAATGTTGTTTTTTCAGAAAATCTGGAAGGAAACATTGAAGGGCCATCTTTGTGAAGCACAGAGAAAAACAAAAGTTCCGTTATTGGACGAATAGCTCGGCGCGAGAAGTTTCTAGAACATGGAAACAGACATCTTTCAAAATTAATCGCACTGATCACATAAAGTATACATTTGGGAGATTGACAAGAGCCGGCATTCTCAAACAAAATTCAACTATAACAGGAATAAAAAAGTGGTATCATTAGAACAACCATGGACAGCCCTCGAATGCAGATGTGTGAATGGCAAGAAAAATATCGACTTTAAGAAGTGCACGGACTCTTCTTTGTTGGAAAATATTTGAAGAAAACTGAAGATGGAAGTGGTATGAATAAAAGAGCTATTGACAATTCTCGAATCTAGACCTAGAGGAATACAACAGCTTGTTGCTTTCTCAAGGATAATGGAGACGGTAGTTGAAAAGATAGAGATATTCTGCTACTTTTCAACCAATAGGGTGCAATGATTTAGCAGAAAGTGACTTCAATGTTGTGGATGAATGGTGATGGAGCAATGAAACAAGAAACTTTAAACAAGAAAGGTAGCAGAAATTCACCGGCAGAAGGGCGAGGCACCCACATCAATCCCAACTGTCTTTTCAACCGCACTGGTTGTTGATAATCTTATATGAAAGATTAGATAGAAAGAGATAAGTTTATCATGTTGTAATTAATTCCATCTGGAGATTAGATGAAGAAGTGCGACTAGCCTAACCTGAACAAGATGAGACTGTGCTCTAACCGAACCGATCAGACCAATTAGATGCATTTACACCTCGCTATAACTCAAACAAGACAAATAATTATATAAACAACTAATGCTTCTACTTTGAATATGAAGCTATTATAATATTATAATAGAAAAATAACAAGAGTAAGAGTCAGTGCTTATAAACAACCGATTATTTTCTAATCACGAAAAACAAATATCTTTAAAAACTAATTATTTTTATATAATTATTTTAATATAAAACATATCAAAATCTTCCAAGCCCTAAAAATTATTATTAAAAATCACCAAAGGCTAAATTAAACATTATTCATTTGGTCACTCACACTCATTCATTCATGATCGAATTCCTTATCAACCAAATCCATATTCTCAAGATCATTTTTGTGTATCTAATCTATTCAAAAATCTGCAAAATCTTTTCCCGCTTCCCCCTCGCAAACTCTATTTGGTATCTTTTGCATTCATGCCACATTCGTCTTCAACCGTCTATCTTCCTCCACCGAAAATGCGAAAAAATGCTAATAGTATATCGAATCTAACTCCTATGAAACCTAACCAAGGTAGCAAAGAACTCCCTTGCATAAAAAACGCCTGTGATTTTGTGGGTTATGTACATGCGTAAAAAGAGGTGGCATTCATATTGTACAGTCGGGGTGTGCCGTATTTGGTGTACTCGGGTCTGTAAAGTATGAAGAAAAAAAAGAAAATGATGAGGGTGGACATAAACATTAAATATGAATTGTGTGCTGTAAATCTCGAGGATGGATGTGGCTGTGAAAAGAATAAACTCGTGATGAAACGAAGAAATTGGCCGCGTTTGAGATGAGGCCAAAAATACCAATAAAAGTTGGAATTCAACAGTATTGGCTCGACATTGAGCCAAAGGTATGATCTTTGGCTGAATATCTTTTGGGTATAATTTCGTTTAGGCAACACCCGTTGCTGGGTAGTACCAAGCACATACCGCAATGATTCTATTGAATGTCAGTTGAAGATAGCATGGAGACGGGAAATAGAACTCACATGTACAGGCATTGTAAAAGCATTCCTTCCAACCAATGACTCTTACCATCACCAATCAAATAATTGACCAGTAAGATAGCCACAAAAAGGACAGCAACTTGGAAACCATCGAAACTCAAGTTCATTGCATCGTTGCCCATTATCCATCCGATGACGACCAGTAAGGGGATAAGGAACAAGGCGACTTGCATACTAGAACCAACTGCGACACCAATTGCAAGGTCCATCTTATCTTTGCAAGCAACCGTTACTGCAGTGGCATGCTCTGCAGCATTTCCAACGATAGGAAGGAGAATAAGACCAACAAATTCTTCCGAAACTGCACCATTAGCAGTAATTGCGCCAATACTGTCAACCATGAATTCTGCGCAAAGTCCGATGATAGCAGTGCAACCTGCAAGTGTAGCCCAGGCGACCAAGATATGTAATTGTGGTCCCTCTTCCTCCTCCTCTTCCTCTTCATGTGCGTTTGGGTTAATGAGTTCGTCGTTAGGTGGTCGCTCCGTGATGTTTGCTCTTCCAGGCCCCGCCCCAATTCCACCAGCCTTGGCCAAACTCTTTGCGATTGCGCCTTGAGGTAAAGCATTCTTGCGTGGCTTCATTGGTACCTTTTGACTCTCCTCATTGAAGATTGTAGCATGTGTATGCAACTGGAAGTAAAGATAGCCGATATATACCACAAGAAGAATGACCGAGGTACCACGAGAGATGGCCGCGATTGGAGCATCGGTTGTTGTGCTCCATAAATCGAAGGCAGTAGGGACAATAACACTGGCTATAGCGAGGGCCAATAAACTTGCAGCCGTTTGCGCAACTGTTTGATTAAAGAATTGTTCTTCTCTTCTAAGTCCTCCAAAGAAGAAGCACATTCCCATGACGAGTAATAAATTGGATAAGATACTGCCAACCAAAGAGGTTTGGACAATGAGGACTTCTCCTTTCGCTAGCGCAATGATTGCGACGATCATTTCGACGGCATTTCTGATTAACATTAGTTGAGACCATAGAGCGCGATGTGTAAGACATACCCGAAAGAAGCATTTAGCAAGCCTCCTAAACTTTCACCTACATGGAGAGAGATTTCCTCGGTGGCAAAACTCAACATAGCTGCCAATGGGATGATAGCAATGAAGTTGACCACGAAAATTATAATTCCATTGACCTTGGCGTAGTTGAGCGCGATACCGACCGGTGCGGCTAGGAGTAAAATGTTGATCCACGAATTGAAAATGGTGTTTTGTAATTGATTCCTGACGGTGAAAGGCTCATGCTTCAAATCCTTTCCTTTGAAAATTCCTCCCTTCTTCTTCTCTTCGCCATCTACCTGCTCCCTGTCCTTCTTGGTCCATCTGCTGAGGAATCTTCGTCGAGCCTTCTCTTCCACACTAGGTTGTCGCGATGATCGCCTTCCAACAATTGTTTCTTCTGTACTTGGATCGCTAGGTCGTCCATCATTATTCGTAGGTGTCTTGTCCAACTGCTGCATCTCCACAGCACCTCCACCTTGCTGAGTAAAAAACGGCGCTTGGCTCGCTGATGATCGTGGTCCATCTTCAGTTTTGACGTTTCTTAAGCCCACGTCCTCGTAACCTGTTAAAGCTTCCTCATCGGGAAGTTGAGCTGGAAATGTACTACTGCGTCTTGTGGTTTTCGAAAAAGGGTTCCATTCTGTCCCTGGACCATGCCATGCTTCTTTTCGCGCGGCCCGCTTCGTAGTGTCTAAATTGAACATAATAGTAAGTATCACCCATCAACTAATGGGTATGAAAAAAATAAAAAAAAGAATAAATTCTCGGCAGGGGTATTAATATAATGACCATTGACCAAAAGATATCTCTGAGAAAAAGGAATCACTAACAAAGGTTGAAGTCGTTTGGAGCCATGTTTTTGTAATGTAGTGTCAAGCTGGCAATGTCTGGGGGATTGCTGACGCGATACAGGTCGTTCTTGAGTGGATCTGGTCCTAAAGTGCGGTCGTATTGGTAGTAAAACGAGTTAAATGAGTAAAATGAGTAGGCAGATAACAAGGCACTGCCAGGCTCTCGAAGGTTTTGGTGAGTTGAATGTCCGTAAATGCGATGCAACAGAATTATTCCTGCTGACCCACCGGCGCTTGACTCTCAAATTGGATGATGATTTGGATAAAAGAATCGAATAAGAGAGTAATAGTCTTTCTTTTTTCCCAAAGTGAGGCGATCTTCCGGAATGCAAGTGATTCCGTTGATTGGGATTAAGGGTTCAGATGCTCCCAATGTTCCAATTCGTCGTCCGTGTACTCTTGGATGTATCGTTATAAGATTATTATCGAAATTATATTGTGATAAGGGGCCGTTGTATTCCGTAGCCTTCACAAAATCCCAAGGAGAGATCGATAAAGTCTTATGCTTTAACGAGAAGGCGAAATGATAAACAGCTTGTGAGTTGTTACTCTTTCTTGGATTTGAATCGCAAGCAAAGGTGGCTCAGCGATATTTGAATTTGTGTGTTGGTCTGTTGATCTTTCTCTCTCTCTCTCTCGCTCTGTCTTCTTTTCTCTCTGTTTATGAGCGAGCTCGCGTTGCTAGGTTCTTTTTAGTTATGAGCGGACGAAACTACTTGCCCCAGTGTAGTGCTGCTAACTGTGGCTGATGAAGGGTCCTACTAGGTCGATTTGAGTAAAAGACGTTTGACCTAATAGAAGGCTGCGGGTTTGAAATTTTGTATGTAAAACATGTAAAACCCGAGGTGTTGGGAAATATGAATAACAGGTTATTTGTTTGTAAAAGAAGAAAATAGACGATGGGATGATTTAATGATTTTGAGAAAATTTCGAGGAGATCCAAGGTAAACACCACTCCTATCACACCTACCACTCCCGCTGTTTGGAGTGAAGCCAAAGTCTTGGCAAATGTGCGATATTAGTTTCCTATCGGGCGGCTGGCTGGGACTGTAAAAGATATCAGAAATTCTTATTATGAATTGCTAAATAAGATAATGTTGTTATCGTCGTTGAGTCCCCTCGGCGATCGTTCTGTTCTGCGTAGTTTTAGAGGCGTATGGTGGATGATGCTATCATAAAAGTATCTAGACAATAGATAATATGAAGATGGAGTAGTGAGGTTTGATAAGAGAAGATGGTCAAAGTTATGCATTAATGGTTGAAGTTTGTTATTTCCATTTGCATTTTGCAGTTTGCGCAGACTTTTATATACATGGCGATATTTTATTTATGACTGAAGTTACTGTATATCTCAAAGAATCATCTGTTAGAGAATACCTTGATATCTTGTGTTATTGATTCATCCATCATCCATCATTTATCATTCACCCTATATCATTCTTCAAACTTTCAATGGGATTCACGATTCACGACAATACACAAGAATAAGAGTACTGTCATCAAGTCTGTCAACATTCTAGAATCTTGGTCCCCAAAGATCCAAACAAATTGAAGCAATGAATAACCCCTAATTGTAAATGCTAAAAGAAAAGCAAGGAATATCAACAATTACAAGCGCCACTTAAATCATTAATATCTCAATCTTCCATCTTGGCGCCGTGGCATCAGAAGCTTCAGTAATCTTGATTCTAACCAAGCTTCCTGGGTGTTCTATGAATTGGACACCCGCTTTACACTAGTTGGATGCATGTATAGTATATACTAGTGTATCTGCAGTACCATGCACACATCAACATCGCCAGTCAACAATAATAATAATCATGATCGAATCGAGTCAGACCCAGAATATACAATCCACAACCAACCCACAATCTGCAATACCGATCATCAATCAATCAACTCAATCAAACTAATATCAATCCATCACACACATACATGCGCCTCCTCGATGACGATGTCCCTATTTTACCCCCTTAACATATTCCTCCATCTCCATAAATTTTAAACATTCACCAGGGTCGCAAATCTGGTCCCATCAAATTTATAAAACTTTAACATCTCTATAATATTTTATGCTGTGAGACTCTCAATAGTCTGCCTCCACGGCAGTGGCCCTCGGAGAGCCAGCGGAGCGTCATTTTCATCACTATTATTCTATGGTAAAGATTGTACCGAGTACTTGCTTGTGATCCCCTCAGGAAATATGTTTACAACTTTTAATATTAAAATCAACAAACCAGATGCAGATTCATCAATGCGGGGACAAATGCACCCACTTTTGCATGGAAACACTTCCTCCCGTTATTACTTTTAGGTTTAGTTTTCAACATAGCCACACAACTACTGCTGAAATTCCACTTTTTCCCTCATTCCACATCGTCGTTCATAACCCCATTTTATTTTATTTTTCACATTATCCTGGTTCTTCCAAATCATCTTGTATTCACGTGATATTGACGAAACAACTACCGCGAACTACCGAATGCATTTTTGTCGTGGCAAACACAATATCAAATCAAATGCAACGATAGAATGAAACATCATCGATGCTGGGTCCAAAAAATGCAGATCTTCAGTCCTGGATGATTTGATTGGGGAGATTGGGTGCCAGGAACAGATCATGTGGCTGTGGCTTTTATGGGTCTGTGGCTGGTGATCACAGTAGAGGTTGAACTCTTCTCCGTACGGATCGAGCAGAAACAAAAATCGGTGAACGGGGCAACCATCAAGACGAACCGAGGGCTATGCCGTAAGTGACGGTGAGCTTTTTGAAGCAGGGGTTTAAATTCTCGATGGCAAGTCCATGCTGAGCTGTACTCGAGTACTCAAGCCTCAGAACCATGTACGGTAAGCAAGACGAGCTGCATTGGAGAGCTGACGTGTCAGGCACGCTGTAGTTCTACTAAGTCTGTTTTGCGATGCCAACGAATGTTTGGAAGGCTCTTTCTTTTTCATTTTCGTAGTTCATGATCACTGGGCATGTTCAAACCTCAAAGTTTGAGGATTCCCAAATCGTTGTTTCTGCTAGTGGCGGGTGGTATTACAGCTGATGCATCTTGCGACCATGTCCGCAGAGCGTGTTGGGCCACCAGGCCTTAAGGCTGTAAGGCGGACTTTGGGCATAGGTTGGTTGCCTCGTCTTATTTTGGCCACGTCTTTATTTAGGCCTCTGTTCATGCGCTTATTTGTTTGATTTTGAGGTGGCTTTGAACAATGCTATTGTGTTTAGAAGGATATTTGGGCAGAGTGTTTGGAATCTCAGTCTTTGACTAGATAATAGTAGAATGTATTCATCTCCAGGATTCCAATTAATTCTTGAGGCGAGGGAGAGAGCACTTTTCATCATCTCATTTCTCAATTGATGACAAAAGATTTCCTTCTGTTCTAGACTGGAATGCGCAAGTAAGATACAGACTTGGTTGGTCCTGGAAAGGGCCGAGAAGCTTCACCTCCTGTTCTTAAATCAAAGCCACCTTACATATATTCTCAGCTGGAAGTTTCCCAAGGCGAACATGACACAATTCTGTTTATTACTAAATTCTGGTCTCTATATTTTCAAAGGCCATATTAGTCAACAGCAAGCCCCCTAAAACTGACGTGCTCGCTAAACTGCTTCATCGAACACGATATTGCCAAGTGAAGTTACACCGACTTGACCTAGTGGCGATAATATTGAATATTTTTAGCCTCTGGATAGTCTTTCCAGTGCAGTGGAATGTTTGAAAGTTTGCACATAACATGCATGCATGGCATAATACTGAAGATATACAAATTTGGAAACTACTTGGCTGTGTGTCCAATTCGTAGGTTCCAATATAGAAGACAAGCGAGATAGCCACAGAAAAGTGGAAGAAAATTAGTTACATGCCGTAACATGATTGGTCACTATCTGAATACGCTCGCACGGATGGATTGAACGTACAATCCAACATGTTTATATAAACCTACTCTATCAATCACAGTAAGAACATCAAAAATTTCATCATGTCTTCTTCACGAGTCAGTAAAAATTTAAACAGCAGCGAAAAAGACGCGGATACAGCAATGTCTGCATCACCAAATAATCCATTGACCTCTATTTCAACACATTATGACGAAGGAGATTTAATACTGCAAGGGTTTGAAGGTGAAATGGCCATACTTGCAAAATGGGATGATCCCCAATGGACTGTGAAGATCTGCAAGTGGGTTCTAGGAGTACCTACACCGTGGGAGGTTGAAAATGAGGATGATGACATTGATGAGTACGATGAGGCATCATTTTTTTAGGTATTTCTCCTTTCCATCAAACTAAACATAGAATGAAGCATTAATAAAAGCCCATTTTAGAAAAATTAGTGTCTCATACAAATGGGGAAAAGCAGAGCCTTATTATGAATCGTATTACGGAGGATACATCCGATGGGACGAAGCGCAGTTGGATGCAGAATTCAGCAAGTACAAAATTGGTAATACAGATGAGAATGAACTTGTAACCCTGATAGAGACAGTGAAGGAGGGGAAATTTCAGCCTACGAACGTGGTTTGTCTTGCACTTGGAACCTTGCATGCTCGACATCCTTGGTCAAGAGAGCGGTGTTTCGGCCAACTATCGGCGCTTTTGAAATTTATAGAACTGTTGGGTAAGCAAAGCATAAGCAGAACCATATCAAACGTTAAAGACTAACATGCTTAGGGGTTCCATCAAACGCAAAAAAGCTCATACAAGATCCAGATATGACCCCTAGAGACCAAATATTTTTTTCAGGTATTTGGATTCCAGGCTGTTGCAGATCCGGAGGGCATCAACGCAATTGATGAAGGAACACTACTATTCTTGGTCAATGGATATAATGAAATAACCGAGAGAATCATGGACCGTCCTCCACCAGCAATACTCATCAGTGACCGCTCTTTGGCGGCTCGAATGCAAGAAAAGAGAAGTGTTAGGGAGAAAACGAGACAAACACTCTCTATGAAAAATCTGTTTGCTTGACAGGAGATTCCTCGTATTAGTGGCTGCAGTGGTATGTCGGAAATCAATATTTAATTGGAGAAGAGCGGCAGGGAGAAAGTCTTTAAAAGGAAAGTTCATAGATGCAGGCGAAAAGATTGCATTGGCTTGTCTCGGAAAGAGAGACGGTGGAAACTTTGTTGTCGGAGAATCCAGGGAACTCAACCCTGCCGTGGAGAATAGCGAATGAATCACTTAACTAGCAGTAGTGCGAGTTACTCCTATACATTAGTAATGAAAAGCCTTTAGAAAATTACATATATGTATTAAGAATAGGACTATTGTGATGCGAATGCGTAGTATTATGTCACTGTTGGGAGAGCTAGACTGGTGAATGTGGTATTAATTTGACCGATGAGATTTGGAAGAATCATAGATAGCTTATGTGAAGCGTTGTATCAATTTTAATTTACGTACTCAATTAGCCTTTTTTCTGAGGTTTCCAATAGAATGTCACTTGAAGATATTTCGACCAAGCTTCTTGCCACTACATAGAAATGATGGAAAAGTACAAACCCAACTCGACAGCTTAGCAGGAAAATACAACAATAACTATATCAACGATTGTATTCATAAAAACATACAGACATCACGAATTCCAAGCGCCTCAATACCACCACCTCCCGCCACAGACATTCCATAGACCTTTCAAGGGGTACTGCAGATTCTGATCTTTTCTAATTGTTCTGGTATGATGTATATTCTAAGAAAAATCCACTGTGAATTCATTACTACTACTACCACCATATGGTCATGAATGTTCGAATCAAGCTTGGCCTGGGATGTTCGGATCTAGCCGGGAATTTGCTTTTCGGACTAGATTCAGACATGGATTTTAGTGCATTCCTAGTGATATTCAATCTTAACATCTACTGCAATGATTTCTCCCTTACGGCTGTGAACATCTTATTAGCGATATCATAAACTGTATCACTACCATATACTATTGACTACACTGATGCGGAAATATCACAACTTCCAATGCAGGCTAGTGCTTGATGATGTGGCCAGACTGAACAACATGTTCCAAATAAGTGAATTATACAGATTCTTATTGCAAGTTAGAAGACAAGTGAACAGCAGAAACGAGTAGAGAATATCATGCGATTTGCCGTATCAATCTATTGTCATCCGGAGTCCGATGCGGCACCACACCGTTTACAAACGAGCTTAACAAGATATAAGTTATCTACAATTTAATGTGAAAATTGTCTCTGAACTTCAATAATCAGGACAAAGAGTCACGACCTTCATTATGGCTTCTCCAGCGGACAATGATAGATCTAACAAAATGGAAACCGAGACAGATGAAGGTACACCCACCACATCACCAACAGACGCACCATTTATTCCTCCCGCTGGTGTTTGTGACGTGGGAGATATTGTTCGCCACGGAAAAGACGAGTTGATGGTTTTGGGAAGTGATCAGAAATGGCATGAAGGGGAAGGTCCGTCTGATTTTGAAGTAAAATTTTCCAAATATGAGAAAGCAGATCTCTTCAGGTATGCGTATTCCTCTCGTTAAGCTCGTATAAAAAGTTGCTGATGAGATGAATTGCTAGGTTGAATGATCATTTGTCTGGATATAAGAAGCAATTGAAAACTCGAAAATGCTACACAGGTTACCGCCGCTGGGATGAAGATTTATTGGATGCAGAATTCGACAAATACAGGATTCAGCATGAGAATGAGAAAACTCTTGAAAGATTTTTGGGGACGATGAAGCAAGGAAAAGTGTTCAGCATGAAGACGAAGAAGCACTCAAGGAAACATTTGAAGAATATTTGGAGGCTACAAAGACAGGGAAGGTGATCCAACATGAAGATGTGAAGATGCTCAAAGAACTTTTGGAGACGATGAGACCAGGAAAGGTAATGCCAACAAATGTGGCACATTTTGCCTCAGGATCTTTCCATCTATGTGGAAATAGAAGAAGGCCTTTTGAGCAATTGGCAGTGCTTATGAAGTTTATGGAACTTCTAGGTAAGGATGAAATTTCAACACAACTTCAACAAGAGGACATTGATGGCTAACATGATCCGTAGAGATTCCTCCGAATGCTAGAAAAGTTATGCAAGATCCTGAGTTCTCACCAGGAGATGCGAGATTCCTTGCAAAACTCGGGTTCCAAACCGTGATGGACCCTGAAGGGATCGATGCCGTAAATGAAAAAACATTCGTCTTTCAAATTGGCGGGTACGATTTCATAACCCGGCGCGTCATGGATCGTCCTTGGCCTGCAGTTTACATCAAAATAGGGCACAAGGGACACTTAATGGAGAACAGAAGCAAGATTGCGCAGAGAGTCAGAAACTGGCACCATAACAAGAATGGACCCCCGATCGCTAACTGGTGGGACGACAAAAAGAGAATTGTGGCAATCAGAAAAACCTATGACCACAAAGAAATTCCTAAGATTAGCAGCATAGACGATGGTATGGAAAGAACTCGGGTGTTTTGGAGAAAGGAGGTAGTGGGAGGAGAATTTCAGTGCTTTGTAGACGCAGGAAGACTCGTGCGGTCACTTTTCTCTCAAAAAGATTTTGATCGATATTAAGTGTTCCGAGAGAGTTTTAGACACGGAGACATAGTAATAGTATCTGACTAAATATTGCCGATGGAGTAGCAAATTACACGCGCAATTTTACGAACAAACTGAACATAGTGTGAAAATGCTAGTAACTCCGCTTTGTGAACGACAGCGACTATTGCTCATCAATATACTTTTTGTACACCGCGGCATAGAACTGTTTCCCTGCTTCTGGGTGACTCCTGATTTTCGTCCTCAATTGAGATTCTCCCCAGGTATCATACTTTCCGCTTAAGAATGGAGAATCAATATTTTTGCCCTCTTTGGGTTCTTTCTCTCCGCACCCTTCAAATTGCGGCCATAAAGCCTCAAAATCCTTTTTAGTAGCATCACCACGCACGCCTTGGAAAAATGGGATGCTATATCTATCATACTCGCTAGATAGCACCCGGTGTGTTGTAGCCGGACATAATCCATTAGTAGCGACTTCGAAAGCTTGACCGATATTTACAACAAACGTACTAGGGATATTTGGGACGTCAATCCATCTTCCTGAGCGATTCATGACTTGGAGGCCACGAACATGAGGCGGGGAAGCTTGGAGGAGGAATGTCCACCATCCCGATGAATCTTTATGAGGCCCAACGCCCTGATTGTTATCAGATGAAGTAATAGGACTATAATGAACGACTTTCAAGCGATGTTGGGATGAAAGAAAGGAGTGAAGCGATGATGGGGAAATATTTAGTGCTTCTGCGACAAGTGTAAGAAACCTTGTTGAGAGCTCGAATAGTGACTGCATATATTTTTCAATAACAGGACGGATCAAGGGAAGTGATGGAGGCCACTGTGGTGATATTAGACACTTGTATAAAGTCACGCACGTAATATTCACCTGATTTGGTCCGATGAGTTTCCTATAAAATGGATCTCCTTCAGTCCATGTTGGCTCCAAATCCGTCGCAAATTCAAATTGTTCTCTCTGATCTCTCACCTGAGCAGTAATTTCAGCTCCCAGTCCACTGTAACCCAGGAAATGTGGTGAGTTTTCTAGTGCTATTGAGATCTTTTCTTCGTTTGAAATTCCAAACAGACCTGGAAGCGTTTGCACAAGGCTATCCACGACATTCGTAGGCACTCCATGATTCTTCACGTATAGGAAACCCACGTGTAACAGAACATCTCTAAGCTCTTTCAGAAGCTGTGGTTTCGTGGATGGATCGTTTGCTAGACTAAGGTCCAAGACGGGTATTTCGGAGAAGTTGCTTGACATGGCTCAATCAGGACAATAATCTGAGCTTTCGAAAGCATACCCAAGCAGAGATAACATGAAAGGGACGGTATCTCCATCTATAGTAGATGTGATTATTTATGATGGTTGATATGCAACTTGAAGAGCACGCAATTTGAGATGACGGAATAGTGCCTGAGGAAAGTGGAGGTTTTTTAAGTTAGCGGCTAAACTTGCCGATCCCGTCTCCCTCGACAAAACTTTCTCTTCAACAACAGACGCGGCTTTCTGTTACGAAGTAATAGTCAACATGTCCATATGAGCTTGGACCCTGTAGAAAAGCAAGGCGATTCACATACAAAATTGTATGGCAACTGACTCATAGAGTCTCCCCACCTTCAGCAAGCACAGACATATGTTCTGATTGAAATCACGTGAGGGATCTAGGGAATCTAGAGGATCTAGAGAGTTAAACTCTAGATCCAGTAGATCCAAGAGATCCAAAGGAATACAGTAGAGTATGAAGTTCTATATAAAGGATAGGTTTTCATTTGTAGAGCTTCGTGCTCAAGATCAATCATTTAGTATACTCTGCTATTAGTTACGAATTGCATATCATCATTGTCATTACTTAAGTCCCTGTTTGACCCCTAGTTATAAACCACTTCGAGAGCCTAGAGCACTTCCACGTGATCTAGATGGCAAACCTCGTAACAAAGGGGTATTTCAATTTTGATGAAATTTATAAATATCATTTTCGTTTTGAATTTGAATCTTCATTTTGAATTTAAATAAGAAATATTGAAAATTAGGATTTTGATAAATTATTTATAATTGAGAATTGGAAATAAGGTTGTGGTTATTTCTCGATAAAGTGTACAATTAGAAATTTCCAGAACTCTTACTTCATATATATATATTTTCTGTATATCTATGAAGAAATATAATGTACTTCATGTACGTACTTTTTGCTTTCTTAGGGGAGAGAAGGTGCTTGAAGTCATGCACGAGGCTATTTTATACCGCTGGATGACATTCCGTTCTTATTTTATCCTGTCACTTGATTTGGAGTCAGGGTGGGCAATTTTCGAAACATAAAATCAATGATATAGACTTATATCCGAATCAGCAACACAAAATTGATAGGAATCGTCTGGCGAATGAATATAGAATTACGCAATAACATTCCATATCTCCACATATTCACAGCCTCTTCTCAGAAATAGTAAAAATTGCAAAACAAAACACAAAAAACGTCCATCCATCAACTCTCTACGAGAAACAATACATACTCGACAATTCCTAATCAAACGATACTAGCTAATCATTTACCAAGGAATAGCATCTCCATTGTACGAGAAAAAGCCCCCGGACATAGTCTCCCTAGTCGCCGTATCAACCTATACAAAGACAATATTAGCCAATATTCAACAAAAATTTCAAGATCTCGTTATAATCCATCAGCACCCCAAAAGTAAGACATACCTGTTTAAGCACACCATCCGCACTCCCCTCCACAGTCAAAGGTGGCTCGTTCACGCCGACAGAATCTGCAAATGCCTGTCCCATCTTCGTTTTAACCCATCTATCACGGAATAACCCAGTTAGCATTTATTAATTCTCAGCTCCTTTCCACCCATCCCTCAAAGTGCCCTCCACCTTCTGCATTAAAATCAACCAGGACATAAAAGAAAAGGCGCCACAAACCCAGGATGCAAAGCCAAAGCCACCACGCCCTCCCCCTCCTCAAAATGGGTCTTCCTCACAAAATAATTCGCAGCCGCTTTACTCATCCCATAAGCCAAACTAGGTACCGCAGTTCCCATATCTCCGATTGAACCTAGATTGCTGGAAATGTAGATGAGTTTTTTCTCCTTGACTCCTGCAGCTTCTCCCTCACCGCCAGAAGGATAAGGAGCAAGGAAAAGCGATCGCAAAGTTTGATAAGTCTGAATTGGCGCCATGGCATTAATCTCAAAATGAGCCATCAACTCCTGCATTCTCGACTCCTTCACACTTTCGAAACTCGACGCAACTCCAGCGTTGAAGATTAATACGTCAATTCTGTTTATTCCCTCATTCTTCAATCTCGGAACTAGATCTTCAACTGAATTTTCCTTGTTCTCTTTAGTCTCTCCACTCGCACGGCTCGCCGAAGCAACAAACTCAAGCGGGACAACAAGTAACTTTGACCCCTTCGCTGCAGGAAGATTTTCAAGGTCGTGTGGTGGAGTGGATAAACTACGTTTGGTAGCTATAACTGTTGTATTCTCGCGGAGGAGAAAGTTGCGGGTTATCTGGAGTCCGATACCTATTTAATTTCATTAGCTTTGCGTATTCATTGTGTGTAGTTTTATAAATTGTCTAGAAACACGAGCAAAAGTGAACGATAAAGGTAGGAATTGATAAGCGAAAAACCACCGGCGCAAAAATAGGGGCTCCTGTTTCTCTCTAAACAAAAACATACCTGAATTAGCTCCTGTAATGAAGTATACAATATTTCGCTCCATATTAAATTCAATGATCGTATTCCTGAATTCTAGAGTTCAACAATGGTGCTATGATTGATGCAAAGTTTCGAAGTTCCTGAAATTTTTTGTTGAGCAAGATTGAAGCGAGATGTGGGCGGTCGATAGCTTTATAAGAAAAAATCTCAGATGAGCTGAAGGATCAAATGAACACCTATCAGAGCAGACTTGGCTTTTTTTATATGGAAGGTGGATTGTGATGTTTGGGGTGGGGGTTTTCGGTGATAGATGATAAATTCACAGTTTGCATGTTGATCGGTAATCACGCATGTAATAGTCGGCTACATGGAAGGCCGAGTCCGGGAAAGCGAATGTCCCCGGAACACGAATTGTCCCGTTCCACTTTCCAACATCAAAAACTCACATTCATTATTATAATGTTGAAACGGGACAATTCGCTTTCCAGGGACATTCGATTTTCCCGACTCCGCCTTCAAGTAGCCGAATATTAGCATTTAGCTCAACTGAAAAATGGAGGATGGAAATCATGTATAATGTGGGGAAAGTATCTATTGACAATTCGACATCTAGAGCTTAGAAATACAAAGTAATTGTTGCTCGTTTGTAAGCCATGTATACTATGGTAACTATGACCTCCAAATCCGATATTGCAAACCGAATCTAGGCCGTTGCTTCTTATTGCTCGTGAAATAAACAATCATTTTCCAAAGGAAGTCTAAACTCCGAAGAGAAAAGCACTGAAACTTCCAAAACAATTCCTTGTTGTTGCGCGATGAGAACCAAAGTGTCTTTCTGCCGCCAAAATTAAAAGTCAAGAAGGAATAACTACGTCGAAACCTGCGGTCATTGTTTAGGCTCAGTCTCTAGCGGGTTTCGAAGACCATCAACACGCCCGATGGAAATAACACTCAACATATTTCGACCATTGTCAGTTTCCAGCTGACCATGAACGCCAGCTTGAGGCCCTTTATAACTGCCGCCTTTGACTAACCACCAAACACCCGCTGTGAGGGATAGGGCCCCTGCAATAAGACAGGAATAATTCATGCTTGCAGCATTAAATGGTACCGCATAAGGGAAGCAATATATAACCACAAACACGACGATGTAGAGACAGCTGATAACATTGACAATGTAACCCACAAAGTTGTTCATTACGAACCAACCCGGAACCATTCTATTGTTATAAGCGCCTGATGCTTGATTAGATTGAGTGAAACGGCCTGTGAAGATAAATGGGAGGATCGCGGCCAGGTATGAGAGGGTGAGAAGAACGACGAAGGATCCAATGAATGCGTTGAAAGCTGTTGATGAACCAACATATATAGCACCAAGTACAGTACTCCAGATACCACAAGCGATGGTTGCGTTGAAAGGACTTTTGTCCCGTGGATCTTCATGTGAATCTATTGCGTGTAGCCAGCTAGAATATGGGACTGCGCCATCACGGGCTAGAGTCCAAAGGCATCTTCCAGCAGTGATATATGTTCCGATAAGAGTGCAGAAAATTGGAAAGAAAATCACGAAGAGTAAACCAGTCGTTCCAGCCGTAGTACCTGTGGCCTGTGAATATATTTGAGTAAGTGGAAAAAAGGGCGCGGCCAGAACAGCATCTAGATTTGTAGTTGCGTATACTTATGAAGGATTAGCATTCTTCGAAAAGACTTTGGACGGAATGACGGCAGAAATAGGAGAGAAACACATGAAAAACGGTAACTTACAGATGGCTATCGTATATATAAAGGCGGTGACGAAACCAATAGTCATTTGAGCAGCGATTGCAAGAGGTACGTTGCGCTTGGGATTTGGAATTTCCTCTGCCAAATGGGAGACACAGTCAGGAGTACCAATAGCATAAGCACCATTTAGCATGCCTGCGAGAAAAACGAATCCATTATTGGAGTAGCCAGTATCATTGACCCAGTCGGTCCAGATGAAAGAATGAGTGGCATGTCCTGTTCCAGATGGCATAACCGCACAAACCACAACCGTGATACTAAAACAAAAAGTTAGCTAGATGCTGCAAACGTTTAGCAGATGAGAGCTTACAAAACACCACCAAGAATAAAAGCAAGACCAATGTTGTTGATCAGTGGAAGAGCTCGATTTGCAAATAAGACTATAGAGCAGGAGATCCAAGTTACGATAACGTAACCGATAAAAATGTGCCACCTTGCCGGTACATAGCCAGGATGATAGAGACCATACATCGCAACAGCAATGTTCGAGGCAATAGATGACATGGTTGCTACTGTATGTTAGATAAATTTAAGAAACCATAGGATTGACTTACCTGTACCACAGATCCAAGCAAATGTATTCCACCAACCCGCGAACCAACCACAGATTCTACCATATTTGGGACCTGGAGTGATTGATGCCCAGTGATATACCCCAGCACTACTAGGCATTGATGAAGCCAATTCAGCCAAAGAAGCTGCGATAAGCCAATAAAACATCGAAACCGCGATGAACTCATACAAGACACCCGGTGGACCTCCATTACTTTTTAACACATTAGTCTTTGTCTTTAGTTGATAGCAAGTAACTTACTAAATTGCTGTAGCAATGCTACCACCCAATGCAGCCCAAGTATTACCGGTGACCAGACCGACTGAGCATATAGAAAGCAAAGAGAAATTACGTTCCACTTCTTGGACATGCCCTGTTTCATTAATCTCCGCTAACTGTGAATGGTCCCCTGTATCGGTCATTGTTGCTTTCTCCGAGTTATATGTTGATGAATTTGGAGAGTAATCACGAAGAGAAGGATTTCTCTGATTAATCATAGTTTGAGCCATCTCTGATGAACAGTAGTGACTGATATGCTGGAGTTAGATAAACCTTAATTATCGAATCTAACCAATGATGAAATTGAAATGAGTTTGAGGCAGTAGCAATAATGATAAGAGATAAAGATAGGAAGGTGCAATGGATATCAAAGTATTAAATACCAAGTCAAAAGAATAAGAGACAGGAGATAGTTAAGAGGTAATGAGTTTGAATATAATGACAATGTAATAGACAATAAGAATGAAGGCATCTAGCGTTTTTATTGTATGTTTTCGAGAATCATATCTCCATCTTCAATATCAAACAACATGAACCAGCCGAATTCATTATCAGTACTACTGAGGGAAGTGTTACCTATTTTTGGTCCTATCAGCCTCGGTAGACTTAGCCATAATAAACGGATAAGACCCACCAAGATCATGCAGCTTGCCGCAAAACATGTCGACCCTGCTAGGTTAGCTGTGGTGAGTTCAAAAAAGCGACATACCCATAAGGAAAATATTGCAGATGTCAAGAGACGATTTAGTACCAAAGCCCGGTTTCTAAATTGAGCTCAATGGCGGGGTAAATCTGGGCAAACATCTGACTTGCATGAGAGCAGCCATTGGGAGAGCGTAGTCCTTGAATGGATTTGACGTGAGGAGATCAGATTATATCAGATCATCTCATTGATAAGAGCATGACCAATCAGGACTTTGACTAGCCTGGTGTGCGTAAAATGTACAATTAACAAAATTGACACCTCAAAGAGATATATCCAATTATTAATTGTATTGAAAAAAAATCCGATAAACTCGTGCGACTTGTCTTAGTGCGACCATTTGACCAGCTCAACGGAAAGCTGCTGGTTGGAAAATATTTGCGCCACTCTTTTTATTCCTGATATTGCGTCGATTATTTTCCCTGACGCCGACATCCGCGTGGAAAATCTGTAAGTTTTCATTGAGTTCGGACTGTAAGATATCAGGTTATACGACCTCTAATAGCATGGTACAGTTGTGATCAGTTCAGCTGATCCCTGACAGAGAACTCAAGTGTCGCGGTTCTCCCCGTATTGTTTGTTTGGGCTCGATTAAGAATTGCTTCGAGAAATATGGAACATCAATGTACCATATTTTTAGACAGCTGCACACCGTCCGTCTATATTTCGGTCATCCACGACGGGTGGCGTTCTCGAAAGAGAAAGGATCCGTCCTACTCCAAGTTTAGAAGATGTCCTTTCTCATAGCACACCTAGTGGTATGGTCAAGGTGAAATGATTCTTCTTCAACCAAAAGAGCCAATTCCTTGCCAATATCTTTAGCTTCGAGCTCAAAATATCCTATACTTTGATACTAACGACGATTGAATGGAAGAACCTTGTTGGTGGTGAGGGTAATTGCAGGAAATCCCTCCTTTCCTATATCTGTCATCATTCTGTACATCAAAGCATTCCCGATTCCCTGCTTTTGGCTATCCCTACCAACTGAGACTTCGGCCACATGGAAATTAGCATCAATTTTAAAGCCTCCAATGAATCCCACGGGTTTGGCTTCACTGTTGACAGCGACCCAGAGATGATGAGCTTTCAACATGGTCGTTAATAATGATGGGTCCAAGACGGAATCACCAACGGGAACGTTGAAACATGCGAATAATTCAGCTGCTGATCGCTCAACGTCTGCTAATAACGGGATATCCTCGTGTCGTGCTTCACGCACAGTATGATGACGCGAATCTGTAAGTTTTGGTCGTTCATGTACCTCTGACATGGTAGATAATCGTACCATCAAACAAATAATCTTGTCTGTTAAAGATAATGTATCGAAAAGTCTGGAAGTCTGATCAACGGCAAGTGTGAGACAATTTAGAACGATCGGGAAGGCTGAGACAGAAAACTCATATGAAGAATAGATTTGTTGATGAGGAATATTAGATACAGTCTTGTCCTCCGCCGTCTTCTTCTTCTTTGTCTTCTTTCTCCTCCGGTGTAGCTTGAATCCTGTGATGTAGAGCAAGGTAATATTGTAAGATCCTATCAAAGACCGCTTGGGCAGACAGTTTCAATTGATTGAGATGGATATATCGAGATGAAATTCCACAAAGATGGTAAGATTACAATGAGCTGAAAATTTATGGGGTTGATGACAATCACGGCTCCCCAAGATTAACCTTCCTTTCTTACCCACATCAGGCTTACTGGCGGCTTTAAGGTTAAGGTTACTTCGCTAAAACTTTATTCATGGTGCAACCACCAAACCTTCCGCTGCCAGCCTAGAACTTGGAAGTATGTAAGATCTTAAGGTTATATTGACCGACGGACATCAGCTTTCTTGTAAGATCTACTTGATCTACTTTGCTCAATTTATTAACAGACTTCCCGCGACACTACATTCATTCACATTGTACAAACACTATTCTCCTTTCGATCAATACGAATCTCCCCATATTCCTACTCGTCTTATCATTCGCGACCATGGTCAAGAAGCTTAAGAAAACCAATAACACTTCCACAATCTCTCCGGTCGATACCCCGCCATCTACATTCACAGATTCCCTTGTACTCCCGAAACTCATCGTTTTCGACCTTGATTATACACTGTGGCCGTTCTGGGTAGATACACATGTCACACCTCCGATAAAAGCAAACTCAGAACATTCTGCGACTACCGATCGTTGGGGAGAGAGTTTCGCTTTCTACAATGAAGTACCTTCGATTCTCGCACAACTCAAAAATCATGGCATAATGGTTGGGGCAGCATCTCGCACATCTGCTCCAGACCTAGGGCGAGAGATGTTGAGATTACTACACGTTATGGATGTAGATGGGAAGAAAAGGAAGGCGATTGAATTATTTGATCAGCTTGAGATCTATCCAGGAAGCAAGATTACACATTTTACCAAACTGCAGAAGAGCACTGGTATAGCATACAAAGAAATGTTATTTTTTGACGATGAGGCAAGGAATAGGAATGTCGAATCCTTGGGAGTCAAGATGTGTTTAGTGAAAGATGGTGTTAACAAGGCTGAGATAAACCGAGGGATCAAAGAATGGAGGCAAATGCATGGCCATGAAACGAAATCGTCCGGTTCAGAGGATAAGGCTGGCAGCACTTCCAATACATATAACGAGGAGATGGATGGTGAAGAATAGATAGAAAGATTAGATTTGCTACGGAATTATTGGTTTTGGGTATTGCTTCGGAGTTTGGGATTCAAGAGCCATGGCATGGATACTTCAAGAAGTTAGAAATGGAGGGGCAGAATGGGTAAATGCTTATATATGAAGAAAATGATGATGATGACGGATATGAATGATAGAACTTTCACGACAGCACTACCCAGGTACTAGATACCTAAGGTACACTCATTAATACAAGTTAACAAAATTTTATATATGATAATTTGTATATGATAATCTATATATAATAATTTATAAATAATAATTTTCGTTTTAATCCTCTATCCTCCATCGCCATAATTCATCAATATGATTGGTCTCTTATACCCTTGTCGGTACCTGAAATAAAATAAACATAACGTGGTTTATCAGGACCCTGTACATATCAGGACCCTGTACACTTTTACCTCAATTATCACCTTTCAACTTCAACACGCGATTTATCAATATTTAATTATGCAAACTACTTCAAAAGAAGCTCGAATCAATTTAGCTATTGAGGCTATTCGTATATCTCAAAATTTGAGTATTCGGAAAGCTGCAAAACTCTATAATATACCTCATACTACTTTTACTTCTAGAATGAATGGAATTCTGCCTCTTACCGAATATCGATTAGCAAATCATAAAATGATAGAATTGGAGGAGAAATCGCTTCTTCAATATATATTGGATATAGATGAAAGAGGGTTTAGTCCTCGAATAAATGATATGGAAGATATAGCGAATTATATACTCAAAATGTGGGATGCGAAGAAGATTGGAAAGCTTTAGACTTATTGTTTTGTGAAACGATATACAGAATTAAAGATATGTTTTAATTGCGTTTATAACTTTCAAAAAGCTCTTTACAAAGATTTAGAGCTTATTGAAAGATAATTTCGATTAATATCGAATATGTAGGCCAAATATGGTATTCTAGATTATGATTTCTACAATTTCGATGAGACAGGCTTTATAATAGAACAAATATCATTATATATAATAGTTACTAAAGTTGATCAATATGGAAAAAGCAAAGCTATACAATCAGGCAATCGAGAATGGGCTATAGCGATTATTTGTATTGATAGAGAAAATTACAATATACCTTTGTTTTTGATAGTAAAAGGCGAATACCATCTTTCAAATTGATATACCGAAGATGATTTACTATACGATTGGCTTATTAAACCTATTATCAATAGATGGACAGATAATGAGATAAGTCTTGAATGAATTAAGCACTTCAACAAATATACTGAAAGTAGGAAAGTGGGTAGATATCGAATGTTAATGCTTAATAGGTATAAAAGTCATAAATCGCCAACATTTCAGGAATACTGCAAGGAATACGATATTATATTACTTAGTTTACTACCTCATTCTTTGTATTTAACTCAATCACTCAATATCAGTTGTTTTGGTCCTTTAAAATATTTATATAATCAACAAATCGAGAACTTTATCAAGACACATATTACTCATATTACCAAAACCGAATTCTTTCAAACATTCAAAGCTGTATATATCGAAGCAATATCTATATCAAATGGTAAAGCTGAGTTCTGCGGAATTGGGCTAATCCCATTTAATCCGGAAATTGTATTTTCAAAGCTAGATATTCGAATAAGAACTTCATCAAATAGATCAATATCAGCCGATCCTGATATATAGCAATCTCAAACATCTCACAATCCAATTGAAGCTCTTTCTCAATCCACTTTAGTGAAAAGTCATATTGCTCAATATCAAGGGAGCTTATCTACTCTAATATTTAAAACAATTGCAACTTTAGCTAAGGATACAGAGCTCTTAGCTTATACGAATACATTTTTAGCTGTTGAGGTTTATAATCTCTGCAAAGCAAATGAAGCATTTAGTAAACGCTGAAGAGTTAGAAAAGCTTTAATACGAAAAGGAGGAGTACTTTCAGTAGAAGATGGGCATGATATATTAGAACAAGAGAATGTAGAAGATCAGATACGATGCAATGAATTTACAAATGATGATTCTTCAGCAAGAAGGCAAGCTACTATACGACGATATAGCAAATGTGGTAGTACTTCATATAATGCACGAACTTGTCAATTAGATCCAGCATTAATTGATCTTTGAATTGTATGTAATTTAATTCTAATTTATAGTATTGTTGTAATTTTATTTCAATGGAATATGGGCAATTGAGGTAAAAGTGTACAGGGTCCTGATATGTACAGGGTCCTGATAAACCACGTTAGTGAAAGTTGATGACCTCATCATTGAGAGACATTTCGAATTTATTCCGACACCTGACTTCGTGTTGATGCATCAAAGCACCAAAAACCTCAATTCAACTTCAATTCTTCACAAGAGTATGTTTTGCTGACAACTAAAAAAGCCAATATGCCTCCTTTCCTCCCGCGCAAACGTCTGCGTTCTTCATCCCCAGAGTCAGGCCCCTCAAAGCAGCAAAATCTCAGAGGCAAAAAAAGTAAATCATTGAAACCCACTCCACGAAAAGCTACATTATTTGATGATCTCGATGCTGGAGCCAAAACTCTTGAAGATACTAAAGCTATTCTACAGAAAATCCAAGCTACGGATGATGATGACGACGAGAGCTCATTATCGTCCCTTTCTGACGACGAATTTGAGGATGTCCCAAATACGAACAGAGGCCCGCGAGATGATGCGACAGATGAGGAGGACGAAGATGTTGAATTCGAGGATGTCGATACAAATATAATAAATAAACCATCTGCGAACATACCTACTGGTGATCTCGAACTTACATTAACAAAAGATACGAGGATATCGCTCACAAATACGCTGGGATCGAAGAAGGGACCAAGCAAAATTGAGAGGGGAATTCGGATGGCTACTCATCAAATTCATGTGCAAATGTTAATGTGGCATAATGCGATTAGAAATTCTTGGCTTTGCGATAAGGAGTTACAGCAGATTCTAGTAGGACAATTACCGGAAACAGTCTTAAGGGAGATTGAAAAATGGAGGAAGGATAGTGGACTACAAATCAAGGCAGATGACACTCCAAAGTCGAAGGGAAAGGGAAAGGGCAAGGATACAAAAGGGAAGAAGGTCGATGTTAGGAGTCAAAGGGATTGGGGGGAGCCCGCAGCAAAGCAGGAGGCTGGCGAGGTCAATATGAGTCGTGGGGATCCTTTGTTTCGGCTTCTAAAATTATTGATGAATTACTGGAAGCAAAGGTTTAGGATAATCACGCCAGGGCTTCGAAAGGTCGGCTACATGTCTCTCCATAGGCTTGACCAGGAACACAAGAGCTTTCAAGAAGGTGAACACGATGTTGAACGCCACGGAGAAAGAATAGTAGATATACATGAATATAGAAAATGTGCCAAATCTATGGAAGGAAGCCGAGATGTTGGCGCTCAATTTTTCACAGCTTTATTAAGAGGAATCGGTATTGAATCAAGAATGGTTGCTAGTCTTCAACCCGTAGGATTTGGTTGGAACAAAAACGAAGATGCAGGGGAGAGAAAGGATAAAAAAAGAACAGAAGCTACACCGGCTGATGATACTTCGAATTCTGAGAGTAGCGAAGAAGAAAAGCCTGTCCCGAAGCCTGCCTCAAAGCCGGCAAAGAAAGTAAATGGAAAAGGAAGAGCCGCCTCGATAACCAAGAAGCCTACGAAATCTGCCAGTAAGCCTGCGAGACGAAGTTCACGCGGAAATGGACTAAAAGACGCCCCTATTGATCTTTCAGAATCCGAAGAACTTTCCATGTCCAATAATGAGGAAGAAGATGATGATGAATCTGTGGTTGATATCACGCCAGTGAAAACTCGAGTGCAACCTTCAAAACCGTATGACAAAGACCTTCTATTTCCACATTATTGGACCGAAGTTTTATCTCCAGTCACGAATACGTATACACCTGTTGA